TTTTTGCCCCTAATTCCTACATGGTTTGAGCCATAACCCCCCAAAGTCAATTCTTACCATCCCTTTGTAATATGGAAACTTGTGGTATAATTTCAGAGAGATTCATACACTTTAACACAAGTTTTTGTCTGGAAGCTACAAAAATGCTTATTTGGGCCCTAATTCCTAAACAGTTGGGACCATAACCCCCAAAATCAATCCCAACCTTCCTTTAGTGGTTATAAACCTTGTGTTAAAATTTTATTGATTTCTATTTACTTATACTAAAGTTATTATCTGGAAACCATCTGTCTTTGGACGACGATGACGTGATACCAATATACGACCATAAAATTTTTAATTTTTGCGGTCGTAAAAAAATGACGAAAAGACAAACAACAGTACACAATACACAACATCGAAATCACGGGGTGATTGCAGGTGCTCTGGAAGACTTGTCTAATTATTAGGTCAAATAATTGTGTCCATTATTATTGACCTTTGGCATAAATCCACGTCAGCATATTGTCTTATAAGTTTCCCTTTAGTACCAATTGGGTATTATGCAAGCTGTGTTTTGTGGGCATTGATTTTTAAGATCAGCTTGATAATCATGTTTTGTGCAAGAGAAATAAATTGCAAATGTTTCAAGTACATATATGTTAGCAGTCGCTGCTCAAGAACTTTTTGTAAAGGGGGGACCACTGACTGGCCTAAGGGGGGGCCTGCTCCAGTCATGCTTCAGTGATTCCCTATATAATCAACCAATTTTTTCCCACAAAAGAGGGGGCCCCCTGGATCCGCCTATGGTTAGGGCTGAGACATCGATTGCTCCCTTGGTATCTTCTCTAGCATTAAATCCTCCGATTACAAGTATCATATAAACTTAACATGAATAATTTTCCATGTAAATGAGGTCAAGGTCAGACGAACACAGCACACTGCCAGATGGATGTGTACACCTAAAATCACTCCATACAGCAAATATAGAACCCCTTTTTTTGGGACGATCAATGCATTTGAATGGTGACATATAGTTGGAATACCCCCCCCCCCCCCCCTTTTATCATGGGTTGGGAACCCCCCTTTTAAAAATGGCTGTATCCGACCCTGTACATGTTTGCCTTATAATGATTCCATATGGCAAATATATTTGACAATTGCTTATAGTATCCAAGAAATGAACCATACAACAAAAAAGTTAACATAGACCATTAAACCATGAAAAAGAAGTCAAGGTTAGATGAAACCCAACAGTTATAAGAAATGTAAACCTTATAACCATTCCATACACTAAAATTTGTGCGCTGTGTCAGCCATTTGAAATTTTGAATTTCAGATCCGTGTGAGAAAAAATAAATCCAAAGAATTCAAGTACATGCCTGTAAGCACCAAGACATGTATGTTTAATCTACAATGAAAATAAAATAAAAACTAGAGGCTCTAAAGAGCCTGTGTTGCTCACCTGGATCTACAAGCATTTTCAACAATGGCCATGACTAGAATGTAATTCATGACGAAGATCTCTTTTTTGTTGATCTTGATTTGCTGATCATTTATTGTTTTCATTTTCTCTCTATCTACTATACTTTTGCCAAAAGTACAAAAAAAAGTATAAATAAGTCATTCAAGGGCAATAACTTTTATCAGAACTGGACTTTTAGTTTCAGTTTTGTTGACTTTTTTTGTAGATCTTGTCTAGCTGATCATTTTTGCTCTTTATAGTTTCTTTTGACAGTTTACTTAATAGTAAATCTGGTCTTGGTGATCATTTAGCAATTTGGAGTTTCTATTATATTAAAAAAAAAATATAGGCAAAAATACAAAAACAATAATAATAAACTGTTAACACAGAGATATGTCTCGCCTATTTGTTATTTTGATAATGCAAATGTTGATATTAAAATAGCAATACTTTAACAAGTAAGTTATGCAAATATTCAAAGTTAATGAATCATGACTGAAGGTACATGGCTAAACAATCTCCATGGAATGAGATGTGCCAATGCTAATACAACTGAAAACCAAATATCATTGACTTTTCATAAGTCGTTCCCTTTAAACAAACCTAAACACAAACATTGACAAACATTACAGCTGATTTCAATGAGAGTGTAGCTAAGGGTAATATCTGTAGTTAGTTTGCTAGCTAGCTGAACCGTGAAGTCATTGTTAGGTAAAGTATACTACCTTCCTTTCGAAGTAGCCTAGTCATACAGACAGACTAGTCTACTTTTAAAGGAGGGTAGTTTACCTAACCTAACAATGACTTCACGGTTCAGCTAGCAAGCAAGCTAACCAAAGATATTACCTTTGCCTACACACTCATTGAAATCGGCTGTAACTTGTAAACTTTGTAAAAGTTTCAAAGTCAATGAACCATAATTAGGGGGTGGGGTTATATAATCTCCATGGAAATGAAACTTGCAAATGCCAATACATTTGCATACCGAATATCATTGACTTAACATTAGTGGTTCATCTTAAACTGACTTAATCACAAACTAATACATGTAAACTTAGCAAAAGTTTCAAAGTCAATAGACCATGAAAAAGGAGGCGGGGCCAAATAATCTCCATGGAAATGAGATATGCCAATGCTTATACAACTGCATATGAAATATCATTGACCTACCACTAGTGGTTCCCAATAAACTGACCTAATCACAAACTAATACATGTAAACTAAGCAAAGTTTCAAATTCAATAGACCTTGACTGAGGGGGCGGGGCCAAATAATCCCCATGGTAATGAGATGTGCCAATGCTAATACAACTGCATACCAAATATCATTGACCTACCACTAGTGGTTCCCCATAAACTGACCTAATCACAAACTAATACATGTAAACTAAGCAAAGTTTCAAAGTCAATAGACCTTGACTGAGGGGGCGGGTCCAAATAATCTCCATGGTAATGAGATGTGCCAATGCTAATACAACTGCATACAAAATATTATTGACCTACCACTAGTGGTTCACCATGAACTAGACCTAATCACAAACTTATACATTGTTGACGCAGTCGCCGATGCCGAAACAGCATACCTATGTCTCGCTTTTTGACTCTGTCAAGGCGAGACAAAAATTGTCATTAAAAGGGCAATAACTCATTAAAGAAGTCATCTGACAGTTTTGGTGTAAATGAACAGTAGGTAGATCTCAACATTCTGAACATTTTCGCCCTGTCAGATAATTTCTATCAGTAGTGGTTTTCAAAATAAAAGACAAAACATGCATTTTAACCAAATGTTCTATTTTTAGCCATGTAGGCCATGTTGGTTGGTAGGCACAGTCATTGCACACATTTTTAAACTGAATACCCCAATGATGATTGTGGTAAAGTTCAAAATGGCTCACTAATTTCAGAGAAGATTTTTGTAAAACTAAATAGACACAAAGACAACGGATGACAGATGCCAAGTGATGAGAAAGCTCACTTGACCCTTTTGACATTCAGTGGCAAATAAAGTGCATACTCATCACCAGAAAATGTGAATGCAATATGAAAATGAAGCATGCTTTGTACTTTGTACTCTGAGCCCAGTTTTTAAAGTGCTAGTTCACACAGAAACGTTCAGCAGGAAGACATGTCACCCTACCTTGATACATTATTCAGATTCCAGACCAACAAGAATTTGCTCTTATAACTTCTAAATGCCTTAGTGGTAAGCAGAGAAGCAGCAAACATCAATTTACAAGTCTTTGATCTGACCTAGCTAGGAATGGAACCCATGACATCCAGCACTCAAGGTGAGCAAGACCACATAGATGGTTGGACAAATGTGGCCTCAGTGGCAGAGTGGTCTAAGTTATCGAACTACTGAATCAATGGCCTGTCAACAATGAGGTTGTGAGTTCAAATCCCACACATGGAAGGTGCGCTCAACTCCAATCTTCATTGACTAGGAGTGTCAGTTTTTCCTACCAAAGGTCGGTGGTTCTCCCCGGCTTCTTCCATGAATAAAAACTGATCGCCACAGATTAGCACAATAGTGTTGAAAGTGACATTTAACATCCATCAATCAATCAATCAATGGTTGGACAACTTAGGTGATTGACATATTGCACAGATACCAGTCTACTGTTGAAGACCATATGTTGACTTCTAGATGCCTTTAGGTTACTATGTTGCTGGGTTGCTGTGTGTCATTGATGTTAACACACATCTCATCCCTTTATTCATACCTTATAAGAAAACTTGACATTTGAACCATGTAAAAATCCAAGTCAATGAGGCATTCTGACAGAACAATTCAAACTATATAGCAATGGCTTATCATGAATATATCTTCATAAATTCATGCAATCAAAAACAAAAAAAATGAACAATATGTTAGTTAATCTCAGGAACATGTGTCTCTTGTATGAATAAAAAATGATTTAACAGTAATTGTTTAACGTCAAACGTGAAAAATATTTCATCCTTATCCTTCAGTATCATAACTTAAAATAACTGAGTTTTAGCCAAAATCTATAGTTGTCTCCCTTTTTTCTTGAACAGCTCAAAAGCCAATTATATGCTTAAGAGGGCCCCTAAATGATTACTTTTTGTAAGGTGTAATTGCAGTTTTGAAATAATATAATAAGACAATTCACGAAAATCAAGTATCCACGGGTCAAAGACAATTCAAAATAAGAATGCATGCTCACTCCATTATTCTAAGAATCTGAAAACAGAAATTAGGTGTTTGACAGATTCTAAACGTGCTCACACTATACAACTCATAACTGTCAAGCTGCTGCCCAAATATGAAGTTATTTTGTTTAAGTTTCTGAGAAAAGCGATAAAAAAATATTTATTTGGATGACGGACAGACAGACAAGGTGATTGCAATACAGCCCACACTTCAAGGGTTTTACCCTGCCAGCTGATGGAATCTACAGATATCTTTTAATATACCAATAAACTTTATTTGTTTGATTGATTGTTGATGCTTTACTTCCAGCGGCAAATATTTCATGCATTTTCAGGATTTTAGTAGCTACAATTCAATGGCCAGATAAAGAAAGCATATCAAATTCATTAAACATTATGTATTATCATATAAAGTAACAAATACAATCTTAACATTATCTGTGTACTCATTCCTGGACAGTGGTTGTGTCAGAAACTGAAAAAAAAACATACATTCAAAATTAGAACGCAAGTCAATAAATTAAATTAAAAAATTAAGAAGGCAAGAAGCATTAATCTATCAACTGCATTATAATTGAGTTAACTGTTTTCTCCATTAAAATTTAATTTTCCAATTAGCTTTATCTAATTTCAAGAATAACCAATTATGCAGTTTTGAAAAAAAAATTCTTCAAGGTCTGCTATTAAATTGGAAATCAAAAGGTTAGAGACATTTCTATCGACTGGCATGACCAGAAATAGAAATACAGTAAAACCTGTAAATAAAGGTCACCCTTGGGACCAGAGAAATGTGACCTTTGAATTGAGGTTCAAATGTATACTTATTATTATGGTGGGACAAGAAGAGGGTGACCTGACAAGGCAGGCTTTAACTTAATAGATGTGACTTTAATATAAGGTTTGACTGTAATTCTTTGTCTTTCACAGTTAACGTCTTACTCGGTAATGATCTGCTTTTTAACCAGGGGTAGATATGGGACAAACCAATTAAATAGCATAGCATACATACAGAATAATGATTTTTTTTGTTTTTGATACTGACTTTATCAGCAAGAATATCAAGCAAGCCTGATAAGGTGAGCTGATATTCAAGCTGATGAAGTCAGTATCAAATAATTAAATGTGATTTTTTTATGGGTAATTTGTATTAACTGTATGTTTGTTTTTTTCTTTTTAATTGAGAATATGAAATAAATGATATAATTAGCAAAACTATTTCTACGCGTACAAAACAATGTGATAGTTGTTCGATTGTATGAATGAAATCGCATGCATTTCATTGATGAATTGACCCAGATGGAGATGACCATCTGACGTTACTGCACTGATACATGACGTCATTGCCTAACATTTTTGAGTATCAGGTCCTGTCCATGATATTATAAATTTAAGCAGTAAGATCAAAAGGAGAAATAAACAAATTGCCGATAAGATACAGTATTGGATTGGGTCATTGTTAATGCCATATGGTGACCTATAGTTGTTGTTATCTTGGTCAGTTGGTCTCTAGTGGATAGTTGTCTCATTAGCAATCATACCACATCTCCTAATTCTTATATCATTTTTAAACAGCCTAACCCAAGATATGTTTTGTCAAAAAAGTGACATGAACAAACATGTCAATGTAAGTAAAAATTCTTTTTAGACACGGATAAGGATAATTTTACCCAGATTTATTGGTAGATTTTATCATTTAAGATCGAACATATCAATTTTTACATGTTTATGACATCAAAATGACACCTCAAATGATACTTCTTTTCGTAAGTGACAAGACAATATCACCCTATTCATTTATCAATTGATTACCGGTAAGATTACTTTGAAAAAAATAAAAAATATTGCAATTTTTGCAATTCCTTTGATTTTTAACAGCTATTTCATTTCCTAAATAACTTTATTATATTTAAATGAACTCTGCATTAATTTAATTTAACTCTCTAATAATTTATATTTTTCTGTTAACCTGAGTTAAACTTACCTTTACAGTTTTTAAGCTGGTATTTGATTGATTGTTTTTTGTGTTTAACACCACTTTCAGCACTAATGGCTGAATAACAGTGGCCATTTTTCATAAGTGGAGGAAGCCAGAGTGACTGGAGAAAATCACTGACCTTAAGCAGGAAAACATTCCAATTAAGATCAATGAGTCCAATGCACCTCCTACATGCAAGGTTGTACTTACAATCTCAGTGTTGTTAGGCTAGTGATACAGTAGATGAACTACTTAGACCACTCGTTCATCAAGGCCCACGCTCTTATTTGAAGTGAATTTACTATATAACAGGTCAGGTGAAATACTCTTTTTCCACCTCATGTTTACCCATGTTATAACATAGAATAGAGAATGGAATCAGGGAATGTGTCAAAGAGACAACAACGTGACCAAAGAGCAGAGAACAGCCCAAGGCCAGAAATGGGTCTTCACAGACTTGAGTCAGGCACAAAAATGTGGCAGGATAAAACCTGTTTTGTGAGATCTCAACCTTCCCCTATACCTCTAGCCAATGTGGAATAAACAAACACACAGCAATATGCACAGTAAAACTCATACATTTTTTGTTATCAAAGTGCTGAAGGGTAAAGATTGCTTTCATTTTGTAAATTTCTAAATAAAACATTGAACTGTATTTTGCTAGGCAAATTAAAAATTTTGAAAAATGAGTTGGAGTTATCTTCCATTGTTGATGATTGTACATTTGTAGTTAATCCTATTTTAATAACAGATGCATACACCATGAATTACTTATGTAATTTTTAATAAAATAATGTTTTCTTGACAAGTAAGGTAATTCAAATACACATCATATTGTAACTTAAATATCAAAGTATAACATATCATCAATAAATTGCATGACATTCACTGGATAGGATCTAAATAATGATCACTACACTGCACTATTTTGTTTGAACTATAAAAGGTAGTGATCAACCTAGGAAGATATAGATATCAAGTCAGTACCATAGGGTTTTGATTGCATTTCATGCAATCTTTACCCAAAAATCATTGAATTTAATAGCATATCTTATATTTGCAAGGTATTGTATGTTCCATTTTTATGATGAAAGAAAATACATTTCTTGACAGGAAATGGTTAAACATTCTCTGCAAAACGTGAATGAAACATACCTTAGCATTCTTCAAGCAGGGACTTGGAGGGATGTATTCTACAGGACATGCCATGTCACACAGTAGTAACCACAATCTATCAGGGTCTAATTTATAGAATGTTCTACACAGGGAAATAGAAACCTGTAAAAATACCAAACAAATACTGTTTGAATTAATATTGCATGCATTGCCGTGCTAAGCATACCACCACTCATAATTCAAAGTATCAGAAAAAAGAAAGTAGGCGTTGGATAGACCAAAAAAGTGCTCACACATTACAACTTACCACTGTCAAGCTGCTGACCAATTATGAAGTCATTCTTTTTAATAGTTTCTGAGAAAAGTGTGACAAAATATTTGTCTAACTAACAGAATGATGGATGAACGGACAAGGTTATTGCAATATAGCTCCAACTCCTAGAGTGGGGGTATAATAACTTATTCTTACAGTACTTCAATCAGTACATACTTCATTGATCAAAGAAGCTATATCAATAGTCATCTTAGCACAATTTTTACCTAGATTAGCCAAAATTCTAAAAAAAAGTTTGTAAGGGTTCCGTGGAACCAAGTGTCTCGCCTAATTTTGCTGTTAATCGCAGGCTCAACAAAAATGAGGAAAAAAATTAATAAAAATATTCCTCTCTATACTATCTTTTGATTGTAAGTAGCTTCTGTCCAAGTTTGGTAAAAATCCAGGATAGTTTATGAATCTAATAAATGTTTTAAAAACTTAATCTGCAGACTGTATGTAATGTTAAACTAAGTCCATTTATAAGTAAAATACGGAAAAAATGGAACAAAATTTTAACAAAATTTCCTTCTAGATACTAGCTTTTAATCATAAACAAGCTTCTGTCCAAGTTTGGTACAAATCCAGGATAGTTTAAGAAAGTTGTTAAAATTTTAAAAACTTTAACCACAGAGTGAATGTAATGTTTCCTGGCAGAAAAACTAAGTCGATTTATAAGTAAAATACGGAAAAAATAGAATTTTTTTTACAAAATTTACTTTTGAATATTATCTTATGATCATAAACAAGCTTCTGTCCAAGTTTGGTAGAAATCCAGGATAGTTTAAGAAAGTTATTAAAATTTCAAAAACTTTAACCAGAGTGAATATTTGTGGACGCCGCCGATGACGACGCTGACGGAATGAAGGATCGCTATGTCTCGCTTTTTCGAAAAAAGTCAAAGGCTCGACAAAAAGGACTGATTATCTTATATCAAGGGAAAAGTTACTGTTTACTGCGTTTGATGTGCATTGTTTCCCAGGAATATTCAAACCAATTAGCAGGATGATGATGATCATAGATTGGTGTTAAACATCCAGTGGCAAATATTACAGGCATATCAGGAGGAGAACATATACGTTATATGAATTTGAACCCTGCTTTGTATTAGACTGATATTCCGAACCAAATTTTTTTACATGCTATTTTACAAGCTAACAGAGAACTGGAAGACTATGTCCCCTTCTCTGACACATTTGTCTGAAGCTGAGCCAACCAGTTGTTGCTCTTTTTACTACTAACTACCACCTGCTTAGCAGAGAAGCAGCAAATACAATTTTAAAATCTTTGTTTTAACCAGCCAGGGATTGAGACCCATGACTGCTGCCACATGAGGCGAGCAACCAAGAGACCACTGAGGTGATATCAATAAGAAGGAGAATTAAAAGATGAATACCAAAAAAAAAGTCCTAGACAAATCAACTTGTCTAGTTAGTCTAAAATTGACCTAATGTGACTATTGTTATAGCTTCTTTGATCATATCACATTTTCTTATTTTTATAGGGTCAAACTTCCCTCCTAATATTTTCTATTATTTTTCATAAAAGCAGTTGGGAACATCTGGTATCATTGCAAAAGCAGTTCTAATCAAATCATTTAATTTTCCTTTAAAAACCCACATCAAAACCAGGGTTCATACAATATGTTTCAATTGAAAACAGCTGATCAGTGCATATTTTAAAGTTTAAACAGGAAGGCCTATGGTTCAGATGACAGAGAATGCTTAATGATTTGAATGACAATATCTTATACTGGCTCTTGGGTCATGCGAGTTAAATATACCTTTTTTTTGTTAACACAAACTAGAAGCCATCTGGCATTTTTGCATAAAAAATACACAATGTAACAAGAATATTTGTGTTGAATGAAAACTGTGTGTGCCAGAATCTTTTCTTCCTATATAATTTTTGCTGCAGTTTCTGTCTATCCTATTAAGAAATTTACGCTTTCATTCATATGATTCATTTGTAGATTTTGTGTTGCTGATAAACTCTGCTATTCAAAGTAACTCCTATAAGGAGTAGACTGTTGATTTTGGTCATATTCACTTATTTGTAGATCTTAATTTGCCGATCAGCTTTGCTTCTTTACAATTTCTCTCTATCAAATGTATACCCTAGTATCTACTATAGTTTCTGCCAAAAACACAAAAATTGAGTCAAAATCATCATTAAGAGGAAATACAGTTTTCTCTATCCATTATAGTTTTCCATTCGTTTGATGTGTTTGATCTTTGATTTTGCCATTTTAAAAAGGACTTTCCGTTTTGGATTTTCCTTGGACTTCAGTAATTTTGTTATTTTACTTTTTTCAAGGTTATAGCTAAAACCCCAAAATTTTGGTTAAAATCATCTTTAAAGGACAATCTCTCCTATAATTATTTGCAATAACGAAAAGTAGATATCTTGACATTATGGCCATTTCTAATGAGCCCGACTTTCTGTAAAGGTTATCAAGATAATAAGACACTATATGTATTTTAACCCTCTGTTCTATTTTTAATACTGGTGGCCATGTTGGACTAAACAGACACAACTAAATACTCCAGTGACCAAATTTGGTTTCAATTGGCCCAGTTGTTGCAGAGGAGAAGATTTTTGTACATTTAACAGACAAAGGATGCTATGTGATGGCAATAGCTAAAACAGGCCGTTTGGACCAGGTGAACCAAAAAACAAAATTTATAGGTCCATGATTTGGTGGAATGACAATGCAAGCTCTACCTGTTGTAACGTGTGAGGCTGTCTGGCACTGAGGTATCTTGAACAAGTACACATCATCTCTTCCAAGTCATTTCCTCCAACTGTTAACTGTAAAAAAAAAATATTTAAATTATCAAAAGAAGAGCTATGGATACTGTTTTTGAGTGTACTCCTATAGTCTCCCTCAACTTCTTTGAGGCGAAATAAAAATCATAAATATATTACAAATGACATTTACTTTCATGATCAAAAGGCCTCACCAAAAATGATAATTGCTCTTTGGATTTTTCAGATGAAAATAGAAGGGCGGTAGATATTTTTTTTTCTTCAATGAAACATATTGGGCGAATTTTTTTGGTGACCCAACACTTAAACAGCAATAAAAGCTGTATTATTAAGATTCCCAAGTATTCAGAAATTTTGTTATGCTTTTATCATTGCAAAAATTACAAGACAGATTTGCAAAAAAAGCAAACTGGCATTTAACAAAAAAAAAATTAGTATGAAGCATTTCCTGATAGCTCATTAATCAATCTTGCCTTTGTGTCCATTGTTCAACAAATGCCAGCACAAATTTCTGAATTTACAGTGTTGTAGGGTGTGTAGATAGTCTAAATTGTCTTACCTTATCACAGATAATGCCAATATTTGTCAGTATGGAATGCTGTAGTTTGTATGCTACTGTATGTAGATAGGCTGTCCCTGTCTGGACACTACAATAAAGAAATATTGTTTATGGAATAATTCTATTTATCCTGCAATCTACCTTTCTGCTATACTAATACAGGTGTACAGATAACACAAAGTGATATACGTATACTAGACGTATATAGTCTCCTGGTATCCTGCCTCTGTTGCGAGCAAACAGTTATATGTCAAATTACTGTTTACTTCACAGTTCAATTTGGGGTCCTAATTGCAGTCCGCGTTTAAGTCATGTCGATTTCTTTCAAAAACAAATTCAACGATTGGAATGGAAAAAAATGTCCAAAATTAATTGCAGGATAAAGACAATAACTGTTTAGCGTCTTTAAATATCAGCTGTATTTGTATTCAGCTCGAAACAGGAGTAATAGCTCGCTGAAGCTCGCATTACACCTGTTTCTTAGCCTCGTACAAATACAGCTGATATTTAAAGACACTAAACAGTTATTGTCTATATAATATCTGCTCTAGCCTATAGCATCATGACACTGGTATAAATATATGATGGCTGATGCAGTGCAAGTGACAAAACAAACAAGAAGCATGAGTTTGTAGTGCTAAGCATACTCCTCACTCGTAATTCAAAGTAATCGGGTGTAGTATAAAACTAGATGTGTCGGAACAACATGAATGGCTCCGTCTCAAAAAGTTGAAAAATCTGCAATTTCAACAACACATGTGGACACAAACATGCATGGATAATATCCAGCTCTCAAGACAATACTAGTTTGATGAAAAATTTCCTTGATCAATGAGTAGTTAAATTTCAAACTATCAGCAAACAGGAAGTGGATGTACTGCAGATCTAACAAGATGTGTTGAAGCGACATGAAAATCAGCATAGCAGAACAAACCATAAACTTGATCTGTAACTCATCATGGTTAACTCACATACCAAAAATCAGCGCAAAATCTGAAGGCGTATAGAAAAAAGTCTGTATAACTGTGATTTTCAACAATTTATCAAATCCAAAGCCCGTAATTTCGGCAAAATTTCGCAGAGCACAACGAAACTTACACTTGATCTGTAACTCATCATGGTTAACTCACATACCAAAAATCAGCCCAATATCTGAAGGTGTTTAGAAAAAAAAAATGGTTTGTTGCCGAATGACAGAATGACGGAATGACCGACAAGGGTAAAACTATATGGCCCCGACAACTTTGTTGTGGGGCCATAAAAAAAATCTTTGAATAACATTAAATTGTTCTTATACATCTACTGTGGATTCACTTATTTTCGTGGGTACCAATTTTCGTGGATTGCAGAAAACTTGCATTTTCGTGGATATTTGATTTCGTGGTTTTGCAAAAGTCTTCATAAACCCTTATTGAAAATATGTAATTCGTTAAACATTTAATTTCGTGGTTTACCTGTACCCACGAAATCCACGGAAATTGGTATCCAACGAATAATAATGAATCCACAGTATACATTAAGGTTCTGAGAAATAGGAAAAATAAATTTTGTCTTCAAAATAAACAGCATTAAAACATCTGCTACTGCATCTATCTGATACTTATAGATAACTGGATTACCTTATTTGAGCTTGTTTATCTAGGAAATTGATGAGCTTTGGGAAGACATCAGTCACAGTTCTTCTTTTAATAAAATCACCGGTACATTCTGACATGATAACTAATGTCTCCAGGGCCTAAAATATAATCATTTGAAATATAAATCGTGGATACAGGTTAATAACCATTATCAATTTTTTTCAAGTTAATTAATCGTAATGACCAGAGGTGAACTTCCAGTTAGGACCAGAGGTGAACTTCCAGTTAGAAACGATTAGAATAATGGTGAAATTTGTTATTTACTATAATAAGAGCTATAACAAAAAATATGAGGTATGCATTTTGAGCTATTTTCCTAATGCCTGAAGTTTAAAGGTTTGGTTGGCTTGCTTGATTTGTTTGTATAAATGTTTGCTCAAGCATTGTAATTAAGATTGACACCTGCAATCAATAGATATGCGGGTCTTCAGCTTGTTTACATTATATTTAAATGTTATTGTATAATGCAGAATATGATGTATACAAGCTGAAGCCCCACCTATCTATTGATTGCAGATGTCAATCTTAATTACAATGCTTGAGGAAACATTTATACAAACAAAGCAAGCAAGCCAACCAAACCTTTAAACTACAAGCATTATGAAAATAGCTCTAACACTTTCTAGACCACTTCGCAGTGATTTAATTTCGCAATTTACAAATTTCCTTGATGTATTTAAATAAGGGAAGATCCAAGTTTTACATATTCATGATACTTTTCTACCTGCAAAAGTTACGAAAATTAGTTAAGTTTACAGTATCACATGTGGTGATAACCATGCAATTTATATGTGGCTCCATATTAATGCACAGATAACCAAATTATCTCCCCTTTCCAGCCTAAATTTTAGTGAGTGGGGGCAAATAATTCTTGTAAGGTTCACACAGTTACAAAGGTCATTAAAAGTATAAAGCAAGTTGTATCTTTCCTCAAAATGATAGCAAACATATACAAGGTTTTTTCAGGTAAATTTTTTTAAAAATTAATATACATCTATCATGTCATTGCATACAGTAATACATCAATTGTTTTATCCTCTTAAGATGTTAAAACTCTCCGACTTAATCAATATTTGTTTGCTTTTTATCACTTCTCTATATTACTTTTAAAACTTTCAAACATACCTTTTTAAAAAGATGGATGTGAAATAGATATTGATTAGACATTGTTATTTAAAATACTGAGAACTAACAATATATGAAAAGAAAAAAATGGCTATTGCTATTTTTACGTGAATTTGACTGGAAATATTCAAGGCATGAATTCCAATTCATCTCAATGAAATAAGATTTAGTTACTGAAGTTCAGATAAATGAAAAGCTTAAGGTGGCTGGATAGTATTAAATTTTGCACCTACTCCTTAGAATTTCACAGTTGGAGTATCATACAGATACAAATGAATTAGGTGTTTGTAAAAAAGTATTTGGATCAATTAAAATGTTGCTTAATTTGCATTTTTCCTTATAAAGTGTCATTTTTTTCCAATTGTTTTACAGTTTGATTTTTAATTGTACTGACCAGTTATCAAAGATGGAAAAAAAATGGGAAATTTGTTAACAATTACTATTAGGGCTATTATAAGTATACAAGGTATAACAGGATGTGATAACCATGCTATTTATATGTAGCTCCATATGACATAATTTATTTTTAATCATTCCATATAGAACCAAATTATCTCCCCTTTCCAGCCAAAATTTCGTATCTTTTTTATTGGTTATAATCAATTTCAATAAGCTGTACTGCAGCTTATTTATTGATAATTCTGATCAAAAATTTGAAGAATTTTTTCCTTATTTCAATTTGAATGTCTACTCCTCAATTTCCATGTTATTTCAATGAAAAACAGCACCTTGCATAATAAACTACTTTTGTTTTTTTTTTTTTTAGCTTAGATGAATGTTGACTACCTAATTTTTGCCAATTTACCCTGTTTACTTCAATAAAAGTTTAAAATATACTGAAATTATGTTTTTCTGAAATAAATTTCTAATATCCTTGTGCCACCACATAAGGGATCAACTCAAATGAGAAGCCTTAAAAGAATTTGCACAACTATTTCCAAATAGAGAAAAATGTTATGTTACATATCATATAGAGTTTATTGATTCTTCATACCCTTCTTACAACTAATTTTTCTCCATCTATGAACCTCTGTCTATATGAAGGCCAAAGTTCATGAATTAAAGGCAACAGTTCATCTAAAAAAGAAGACAATATTAACAATAAAATTAAAATTTCCAATATCAAAATCGGAATTTAAAAAACACAAACTTGAAATGACTGGTTTATTTTTATTGTCTCCCTCATACTTACCTTCTCAAGTTACAAAGAACAGTATCTCTTTGAATATAAGCCAATCTGTGCAAAATATGATTTTTGGTACTGCTAATTTTTTTTTTTGAAATAGTAAACTAGACCAAACTGATCATCTGGCAAAAACATGCCTTATTGATAATATTATTTTTAAAGAAAATCTAGGAGACAAAATTTACAGAAACTTCAAAGCCCTCCCCCTAAGGGCTATTCCATTAAAATGTATGTGGGAGGGTAGGAATGGACTTTCAAAATATCCCTACAACCAAGAACCATTTTTTAGATAATTTTGCATAATGGTAATAGACGCATACTGAAAAAAGACCCATGACCCACATTCAATAATTGAACTTCCCTTCCTACCCTCCCGCATACATTTTAATGGAATAGCCCTATATCAAATGACCATCCACTAAGCAGTCATCAAAATATAACAAACCAATGCAGTAATTTGAAGATCTCAAAGTGTTTATCAATTATACTGTTATGTTTTGATTCTCTCCATCCATTATTGTTTTCAAAATAACATCTACATACACTATAATTTCATAAAAATCATTATTAAAGGGCAATAACTCCAATAAGGAATCTTCTGACACATTTATCAAACTGCATTTACAGTAGCTCTTTTAATTAACAAATATTTCTGCTCCTGTTAGTAGACAGGTATAGGAAGATGTGGTATGAGTGCCAATGAGACAACCCTCCATCCAAGTTACAATTTATAAAAGTAAACCATTATAGGTCAAGGTACGGCCTTCAACACGGAGCATTGGCTCACACCAAACAGCAAGCTATAAAGGGCCCCAAAAAATTACTAGTGTAAAACCATTCAAATGGAAAAACCAACGGTCTAATCTATATAAAAACGAGAAACGAGAAACATGTATGAACTACATAAACAGACGACAACTACTGTAATCAGATTCCTGACTTAGGACAGGTGCAAACATTTGCATCGGGATTAAACGTTTTAATGGTACCAAACCTTCTCCCTTTTCTGAAACAATAGTATAACATCACAACATAGAAAAACACACTATAAAATATCAATTGGAAGGCTTAACTCAATCAAAAAACGTAAATTAACACACAATGAACGAATAAATTTGACCTGTGACACCTGAATGCAAATACACAGTTAGATAAAAAATTACAAGATCAACTACAGTTTTAAGATATTTCTGTAGATTTTTTACTTTTGTGGGTACCTTTTTTCATGGATTGAGGTAAAATTGTTTTTTCGTGGATATTTGATTTCATGGTTTTTAGTCTGCAAACAAACCTATAGAAAATTTGTACTCTGTAGAACATTTAAATTAATCGTTTACCTTTATCCATAAAATCCATGAAAATTGGTACTCCACGAATAATAATGAATCTATAGAACACAATTATTTGAATTTTAACCCTACGTTCTGATCTTAGTCATGACAGCCATGTTGGTTGATATATATATCTTAATGTAATTCACAAACTAAAAGTCTAACCACAGTAGAAATCACTCGTGTCTAGTTTAGTTCCAGTCAAGTTATAATTTTGGTCATGTGACTTAATTGTAGATCTTGTATTGCTGATAATTTTTACTTTTTACAATATTTGTCTATCTACAATAGTTTATAAGACATAGGAAAAAAAAACAAAAATTGGTCAAAATTGTCTTTAAAGGGCAATAACTCCCATCTTCAAGAAGTCAATTTATCTTTTTTGCTGTTTACAGTTTCCTTCTATGTATTAAAAGCAAAAACGATCAAATTGGTAAACAAATTTCCAATTAGGGGCAATTACTCATACAAGAGGTCTCCTGATAATTTCAGTACAAATGAAGAGGAAATATATCTGGACATTCTGAACATTGCTCATACCAGGAGTTATTATTTTCAGTACAAAGGAAAAGGAAATAGATATCTACATTCTGAAATTTTTTTACCCATCAGATTTTTCTGTATTAATTATGGTTTATTCTCGTAAATACCTGTGTGTGAAGATAAAGCTTGGCATGAATAGCCAATTGTATCCAATACCAGTAATCTCAGCCGAGGACTTTTGGAAGATAATAAGTGTTTACTTCTTGTCATAACCTGTAAAATAAAAATGCAGAGGAAATACACTGAAAATATTTGTAAAAGTACAATTTATCAAGAAATAAATTTCAATTGCCTTTCTTCCTCATGATTACAAAATAAGGAGATGTGGTATGATTGCCAATGAGACAACTATCCAACAGAGTACAAATGAAGTGGATTTAGGCAACTATAGGTCATCCTATCGCCTTCAACAATGAGCAAAACCAATATGGTACAGTCAGCTTAAAAAGGCCCGAAATCACAAAATGTGAAACAATTCAAATAAAAAACCAATGACCTGATTTATGAGAAAACAAGAAATGAAAAACAAATATGAGACAGCAACCAAAGATAACTACTGAATAACAAGCTCCTGACTATGGACATGCACATATAGAATGAGGCAGGGATAAACATGTTTGTGACCACCTGACCATCCCCCTTACCTAAAACAGTGGTGTAACAGCACAACATAAGTACAATCTGTAAAAATCAGTTAGAAAAGGCTTGACTCATCAAAACGGTCTGATGCACATTAAAACAACTACAGACAAAATACACAAAGTACCGATCTAAGAGTACTGGCAGCTACTAAAAGCTAATCTAAAACCAATAAACTGTTGACACAGAGATATGTCTCGCCTGTCGGCATAAAATTTTAAAAAAGACAATCTGATGGACAGCAACATTGCTTATTAAATCAGTCGCTGGACCATGATCTAGTGGACATGGCCTGAAAATGGTGGACAAAGTGAGATGTACAGACAGTAATGTAACTTTATACAATATATTGTTGTAAGTTGTTCCTATCAATCTAACTTAAGCAGACAACTTAACAATGAAAATTTCTAATTAATTCAAAGTTACTGGACCATGCCCAAGCGGGCAGGGCCTCAAAATAGTCATCATACTGATATGTACTGATAGTAATGCAACTTTATACAAAATATCATTGATCTATCACAAGTAGATCCTATCAAACTAACTTAAGCAGAAAACTTAACATTGAAAATTGCTAATTTATTCAAAGTCACTGGACCATGTCCAAGGGGGCAGTGCCTCAAAATAGTAGTCAAACTGATATGAACTGATAGCAATGCAACTTCATACAAAATATCATTGATCTATCACAAGTAGATCCTATCAAACTAACTTAAACAATAAACTAAACATTGAAAATTGCTAACTTATTCAAAGTCACTGGAGCATGTCTAAAGGGGCAGTGCCTCAAAATAGTCCTCAAACTGATATGTACTGATAATAATGCAACTTCATACAAAATATTATTGCTCTTTCATATGTAGTTCCTATCAAACTAACTTAAGCAGAAACTTAACATTGAAAATTGCTAATCAATTCAAAGTCACTGGACCATGACTTAGGGGGAGGGCCTCAAAATAGTCGTCAATTTGATATGTACTGATAGTAATGCAACTTTATATAAAATATCAATGATCTATCACAAGTAGTTCCTATCAAACTAACTTAAGCAGAAAACTTAACAATTGTTGACACCGAAATCTCATATTTCAACTATTGAGAATGAAGATATATTGTATTGCAGGAGATTTGGTTATGGTATCTGTTTCTCTTTAAGACAATATGTTGGCAAACTTTATATTTCTTTTTCTATGATTTGCAAAATGAAGTGTTTTTACTATATAATGTAATAGACATGGTTACCTTTTTTTGTGACGTCATGCTATTAGCAAATTCAGAGGAAAACAAGCAAATTTGACGTCATAATTGAATTTTGACCAAAGAAGAACTGAGATCAAACAAACCCCACGCTGATTATAAAAAAATAATCAACTGGTCAAGGAAAGTATAAATCAGCTAAGATTTAGAGAAATATCATATATGGTAGATGCAAGTTATACCTCTTTAACAACAACTACATGTTTGGGCAGTGGAGGTTTTTTATCAGGATCTGTACTATCTTCATCTTCTTCCTGAGACGGCTGATCATGTGACTCATCAACTTCCTCTTCCTGTCCTTCAGATACCCTCAGAGTTTTACAATATTCTAAGAGTTCATCGATTAAGCTAACACATAGGTTATCTGCTTGGGTTTCTTCAACTTTACATTTCTGTAAGGGATAACAAAAATCATAATTATCATTGTCTACCAATATCTATGGACCACTGACAAAAACAAATCTAAGTACGTGTAAGCACTGAAGTGTAAATATTGCTTCCATTTCACAATGTGAACTCATTGAATGGTATTTATCAATAGAACAACACATTCAGGCCAATTATATGTTTTAACTTGGAGTTATTTCCCTTTGTTCATAATTGTACATTTGTAGTTGTCATATTTTTTTTTATATTTGAATTCTTGAGGAGCCTTATGACCAAAAAGGGACCTCAAAAGAAGTCAAATCCACCTAAGGTCAACCTTGCAAGAGGGAGTTGGAACTTTTTATATTCATCAACAGAGAACTTAAGAAATGTATGTTATAATTTATGTATAAATTGAGTTCAATCATCATTTCAAAATAGGTTCAATTTGTAGATGGGAATACTGTGAATTCAGAAATTAAAGCGTGCATCTATTATTATGAATCACTGATTACAGCTGGTAATTTTTCAAGCTCTACTTATTGTGATTGCAAAACTTTTGTGAAGGAAAATCATAACCAAAATATAAATGTGAGTTTTAACAAGCATTCTGTGAGTATTGCCTAGCTATACATAGTCCCCTACCAGTTAAAAATTCATTGTACTGGAACAAAATGCTAACTTGATCTATAACTTGTCATGGTGTGAACTACATAACATAAATATCAAGTCAATATCTTCAAGCATGATGAAAAAAAAATGTGGAAAATTGATTATTTGAGTGAATTTTCTAAGTCCAAGGACCATAACTCTGCACAAAATAATAAGACCAGAACAAAATTCAAATTTCATCTGTAACTTGTCATGATAAAACTATATACCAATCATCAAATCAATATCTTCAAGCAAGAAGAAAAAAAGTGTGGAAAACTGATTTGCCGGACTGACATATGGACAGACAGACGGACGGATAGCAAACCTAAAGTCCCCTTCGACTTCGTCTGTAGGGGTATAATTACTGCGAACCTAATACTGTTGCATTCTTCACTTTAATAAAAACATCTCAATAATTTCTGAATTTACTGTTATTGTACAAAATACCTACCAGACAAGGAAACCATCTGGACACAGCCTTCACCAGCTCATTTAATACTCCCATAAATAATGCTGCTTGGTCATCATAAAAATCATCTAAGGAGGACAACACCTACAAAATATATCAATATAACTTAAGTATAACTATTATTAAGAGATTTCAGATAAAATGAACGTCTGAAACACAATTTAAAGCTAAAACTTTGACAGACTCACTTCTACATTTCTTTAATAACTTTTTATCAGTAAGAAAATAACCATTCGAACAGATGATTTGAGTGTGTTGATTCATTATCAGGTAATAATTATGTCAACCTTGAAAAATCTTTGTTCAAGGTTACAATGTTTTAATGCACTATATAAGCATGGCTGTTTGTTAATCTTTTCATACAAACTAGTAGTTTTTGTCTTTGTATATTTGCATAACTATCACTTCTTGTCTCTAATGTTGTCTTGTGGGAGATTTAAAGTTTCCCTTCCTAGAAGATGATCAAATAAATCTGAAACTTTCTGTGAAGTGTGTTTTACTGTTGTTTCCCTACTGAATACTTTGCAGTGACAAACTCAAGAATTTCTATATTTTTTCATTGACATTTGTTTTGATATTGCCTACTCACCAATGAGAAACCGATAACAAAAGTTATGTCCCCTGTGTTTATAAACATATGGGTTTTTTGGTATTCGGATATATCTTACCTAGTACCTAAGGTACACCTCTTGAGTTTACTTACCTCCTGTATAGTATCATCAATCAGTGGCAGTATTTCCACAGTACTGTACTGTAATATCACTTTTAACACCAGGGGGCTCTGTTTATTTTGATCAAAATGTCGAAGACGAAGCGATATGGCATTTACAAGATAATCAGCATTTTGCTTCAACAATTCATCTATTGACCTGAAAAGTTTTATTTTGGTTAGAAAAAGAGTTCAGAAAAAATTTCAATCAATGATGATGTCTTGAGGATTACATTTCATTAATATAACCACATATACCGTATGTACTTTCAACCCAAAACTGTCAAATAAACAAACAGAAGATATAATGCTTAATTAAAAAAAAAAAATTCCATTTTTTATCAAAAAGCCCCAGAATTGATCCCCTGTAGTTCCATAGTTACCGCTATCTTCAAGCAGAGCAGATAACATAATGTACTATCTTTAAATACTAAAACATGTCTTTTAATGGAAAACTGTATCTCTAACAATTAAAAAAATAATTTGTAGTCAAAATATACATTTTTTTAATTTTTGTGGCAGCAAATAATGACAGCACAAACCCAGAGGAGGCCAACCCATATATGTACAATCTACTGTTACAAAATTTATAAGGTTTGTGTTTCTTTTCAATCTAATGTATCATTTCTAACTTCAATATCGCCATTTATCAACAATTTGTACATTTTCCCTCTGATCCTACTTCTTAATAGTATTAAGATCATATGTACAGTTTGGGATGCTGGAAAATGTTAGGCAATGACTTTACGTAACAATGCAGCAATATCAATTTTATTCTGTCCATCCATGTCAATTAATAAATAAAATGCACCTAACATCATTCATGCAACTAAAAATCTATTGCAGTTTTTCGTACACATAAAAAAGAATTTTATAAACTTCTTTATGTAATTCATATCCCACCTAAAGAAATATATTGTTAAGATCAATTGTCAACAAAAAGAAGAATGGCATTTTATGTTTTGATATGGACTTTATCAGCTTGAATATTGTTGATGATGATGTCAGTATAAAAAACAAGAATGTGTCCATAGAACACGAATGCCCCACTTGCACTATCATTTTCTTATGTTCAGTGGACTATGAAATTGGGGTAAAAACTCTAATTTGGCATTAAAATTAGAAAGATCGTGTCATAGGGAACATGTGTACTAAGTTTCAAGTTGATTGGACTTCAACTTCATCAAAAACTACCTTGACCAAAAACTTTAACCTGAAGCAGGACAGACGGATGAACTGTCGAATGATCAAACAGACGCACAGACCGAAAAACATAATGCCCCTAGGTGGGGCATAAAAATTACCATTATTATATAAATACCAAATGCTTACCCATAGCTACAGGCAGAACAAATATCACATAAACTTAAGTAAGCTGTACTACTAATAAAAGCTGTGTCATCTCCTAACTTCTCCAGTAATGGATATAAAGTCTGGATTAAGAAAGGACAAAATCTCTTGCCAAGAACCTGCAAATAAATATCTATTTAATAATACACAGAAAATATTTGGAGAGGGGTTGAATTAACTGTGAAAATTATAACCAGAATTGTAAGTCAATTTTGATGTGAAATTGCAGAAACATCAAATATCTCAGCACCTTGTTGTATCTCTGACCTAGAAACAAACAGGGATATTTGTGAAGATCAGCTAGATACTGACATAGAACTACATCAAAAATTTAATCTTTTTCCTCGTAGTACATAAGCGTAACTTTTATACTAAAGGCAAATTAGAAAATATTGATATTTATTTGTTTGTTCAATAAAGAGATTGATAACAGGTAACTAACAAACATTAATATACCCAATTTTTGCTGATACTCTCCGATCAGTACTTTGTGTCTTTAGTCTTTTTGTTAGTTGGGTTTTTTTCTTGGTGCTTTTTATTGATCTGATGAGTCGAGCCCTTTTTAACTGATTTTAACAGTGGGTTCTTATGTTGTTCTGTTACATCACTGTCCCAGGTAAGGGGATGGTTTGTCAATATTTTTTAACCCCACCATATTGTTTATGTGCCTGACCCAAGTCAGTAGCCTGTAATTCAGTGGTTCTCGATTGTAGCTGTATATCATATTTATCTATACATATTATTTTGTACTTAAATCAGGCCATTCCTTTGTTTTTCACATTTGAATTGTTTAATATTTTGTCATGTCAGGGTCTTTAAAAGCTTGCAGTGCAGTATGGGATTTGCTCATTGTTGAATGCAGTAAAGTGACCAATAGTTACATAAATCTATGTCATTTGGTCTCTGGTGGATAGTTGTCTCATTTGCAAACATACCACATCTTATTATTTTTACAATAAGCAAATACTTAACACATAAAGATACCTTGGCAAAGTAACCAATTCCCTCCAGATACAAGCAAATCTGTATAATATTTCTGTTAAAACTGTTGACAGTATTGTCATGTGATACAAGATTTATGGCAAGCAGACGGGTCTCTGGTGTTGACATAGCACTATCATGTGATGCATTTGTAATTAAGTGAAAATTTATAGGTGAGAAATATTCCTCTATCAGCATCCTGAAAAAAACAAACAAGAATGTGTCCATAGTACATGGATGCCCATCTCGCACTATCATTTTCAATGTTCAGTGGACCTTGAAATTGGGGTCAAAACTCTAATTTGGCATTAAAATTAGAAAGATCATATCATCGGGAACATATGTACTAAGTTTCAAGTTGATTGGACTTCAACTCCATCAAAAACTACCTTGACCAAAAACTTTAACCTGAAGCGGGACAGATGGATGGAAGGATGAATGAAAGAACAGACACACAGTCGAAAAATATAATGCCCCTAGGTGGGGCATAAAAAATATTCTGTTCAAGTAAATTCATAACTTTTTGTATACATTCATTATCACGACGTTTAAATTATACTCAAAGATGTGAGATAAGTTATTGCTATTTCAGTAAATACTGCATCGCACAATTCTATTAATATGTAAAATATGAATTTTCATCTTTGCGATACCTATTCCTATGCAATTTTTGCAATAATAAAAACATAATATAGTAATAATTTCTTAACAGTAAACCAAAATAAAATAAATTTTCTTTATTATTCACTGTTTACTGGTTGCTTTGTTAAAAGGAATCAAATCCCTGATTGTGAAGTTGCAATTTTGCATTTTACCATTTTGCAAGTAAAATATCTTAATCTTGTAAAGTTTGTAGGTGATATTTACATCGGGAACCTTATCAGTGGTTATACTTTAGTTTTTTGTTCATGAGGGGATTGGGATAGGATGGCAAATCTCTAATAGCTTTTGTCGTATTTATTGACAAGTTTTGAAGACTTGGACAAATTTACAGCTGGTCATATTGTGTGAATTCTTATCTATTGTTGAAGACTATATGTTAACCTCTAGATGTCTTCTGACAATTTTTGTATTGTTGGCTTGATTTCTCTTATTGACATATACCCAAGATCGCCTTTCATATATTGTTTGATAAATTAGAACCTTAATAATATTTGTGAGTGTACTCAAGATTTGAAATGCTCCATCATCCATGCATTTTCCCATTTCATCAGAAGTATAACTTGCTACCTACTATGAATTGTACATACAGTTTCTTTAAGACCTAAGCATACTTACTTAATTATTTCTTCAAGTACAGTTATTTTGTGCTGAACTTCTCTGTCTTTTTTCTTTGTAATACCACGATGTACTGAAAATTAAATAAAACAAAAAATATATAACAAAATCAGCAATCTTATTTCAGGCTACCCATTTTTTGCTCACATGGCCTGTGTTTCTCTCAAAGATCTATAAATTATGCAATGTTTTCTTCAGAAATCTCATTCTTATAGTAGAAATGTCATTTACAATCAATGTAAAACTATTTTCCTTTGTATAAGTATATAGATTATAAGATTCCCTGCAAACTAATATAATAAAATTCCAATCCCAAGCCATAAGATGAAGCAAATATTTCTTATTTTTGTAGGGAATGATTTCATTGTGTTTCTAGTAAATGATATTTAACATTATGGATATTTTTATTTAAGAATTGAATCATTCTTTTGTAAATTTTTTGGGGTGTAAAAGCGTTGACCGAAGTACATTTTGTACAAATGTGCGCACGGTCAACACTTTTACAACCCTATAAAATTACTAAAATTACAAAAAGAAGCATTCAATACTTATAATTACATTTTTTGGCTAGGATTATGAAAACACGATTTCTAACAAGTTTTCTTTTATTTACCTGTGCACTTTATTGTGGAAGCTCGTGTCATCATGAATGTTACATTTCATTTTGAAATGAAGGTTAATTTCAGAATGACGCGAGATTGCTGTTAGCCAATCAAAATAACGTATTATAATGAAACATACATGTAATGTAATTATTGTAGATTATAGATTATCTATAATTATCAGTCCAGGAATCTACTTTAGCAAATAAGAATCAATCTTTAATATTTGTAGAAATTCGATTTGACAAGAGTTATCTCTCTTTATATTTGTAAATTTTCTTACTTGACCAAGACCTATGTATTATATTTAGAAGGTCCACTTAACCTTATCAAAAATAAAAGTGTTCCCCATTAGATATTAAATTACTTTCCTTTCAAATATTTTTAAGTTATGCAACTTTTAAGTTGGCAAATAATAAAAAGTTTGCATTTTAAATTTTGGTAACATTATTATATAGCATTTCACGCAATCAAAATTGATCTTGACATTTCTGTCTATTGTTTAAACATTGCAATAATGATGCACACAGAAATTTCAGAATTTACAGTAGCGTAAATTTCCTACAACATGCTTGATATTATCAGTGTGGTTTATAAAGTTATAACAAAATATTTTTTAACTACCAAATTTTTATTAATTTTTATGAAATTGTGATGTAAAAGGGTTACAGACAAAACTATTTGACAAGTCACATAATATAAGGGGTTTCTGTAAAATACCTGCAACTTTAAATAATGTAATACCTACTGTATATAAAAACGTTTTGACCAGCTTGCCAGATATTTCAGTGGAAAGGGGTATACCTTTGTTTAACAGTTGCAATAACTTGACCTTAACTTTGATACCTTTATGTCCTTAATAACTTCATGGTGCCTGAATATATAATTTTTCTGTAGGGTGAAGCCAGATGATGATGATGATGATGATGAATGGCTGTTAACATCTAGTGGCAATCAAATGCATATTCAGGATGAGAAAATGTTAATGTTATATGAATATCAACCTTGCTATGCACCAGATCAACAGGCCGAGTCTGATATTTAATGTGCTAGTTCACAAGATTGCAGTCCACAGAAAGACATATTACCTACCTAGACACATTATTCTGACTTCTAGCCAACAAGTCTATCCTCTTACACCTTTAATGCAGAGTCCTTTGCAGTGTAGCAGTAAATACCAATTTTAAAGTCTTTGGTTTGACCCGATCAGAGATCGAACCAACAACCTCATGAAATTGAGGCAAGCATGCCACCAAGAGACCACTGAGGCAGAGTAGGGTTGAACCAGGTGATACAAATATATGGAACTATGATAAATATAGAAAATACAAGGTAGAAATTAGAGGCTTATCAAGCATTTCTAATATCTACTTTGTCACTCTTTATTCATTCTATTCCAATTCTCCTTCACATCAAGAATACATTACCTCCATGACCTGCTGCTCCCATAACCATTTCATTTATGATCAGTGTAGCTTGCATCTTGTGAAGAATGGTGTCATGAAATATATCCAGAAAATGGTCTGTTAGTAAATTAATGTCACCTGAAAAGAAGAAATTCGGACCAGATAGCAAACATTCCACAGACAGCTGAAATACTGAAAACAAACTTAATTTCGCAAGTGATTTATTTACATGATTTTCAAAAAAAAACTAAAATGAAGTGAATGTAAATTGTTATAAATATGTCAAACTTAAATCTTCTTTCATATGACTACACAAACAATTTTCAAAAAATCATACAAATAAATCTATATCTGCTAGAAAGGTCTGAACATTAAAAAAAAATATCCACTGGTTTAACGTTGAAAAACATTTTGGGGACTGTTCAGTTTCTTGATATTAACTTGTTCATTAACAGTACAGTAAACAGTGACAATTTCAAAAATCATTACCATAGTAACCCAATAATCTGCAAACATTTCTGAATTCGTGGTATATCTTCTTATCATGGAAATGTCGGAAATATTTCTTCGGCTGTAAAATGTCAGGAATTTCTTTGGAATTGACAGCACTGGCACCTTAAAAAATAGCAAATGAAAATTACAATCATAAATAAAATAAAGGAGAATGTGTTTATGGTTTTTTCGAATAGATACAAAAAATATTATAGTCATTTCTTATAATTTAATTCTAAATTCCATTTTTAAGGGTTAAATCATGAAAAACCGTTGATGATGTCACGGTCACATGACAAAATTATGTCTATGAGCTGATAGACTAAAAACTTTCAGCCAATCAGAAGACGTGTTACATCCAAAATGAAATTATTGGTGATAGTATTGACAATCATAATAAATCTCTGATTTTTCTACGATTCCTATCACAGCAAAATTGCTTCATACTTTACACTCACGAATAAGACAACATCAGTGTCTACTTTTGAAACGTGAGGTTTATTTGTATGAAACTAACAAGCTGGAACAAAAAAACTAGAGGCTCTCAAGAGCCTGTGTCGCTCACCTGATTCTACTTTGGTTTTGGAAATCATGTAAAAATAGATTAAAATCATAACATACAGATACCCTAATAATGAGTGAGGCCAAATTTGGTTTAATATTGGTCCTGTAATTTAATAAAAAATCCTGGTGGCCATCTTGAACAGTAAATCGGCAACAAAGTAGCAACACTTAATCAGCACCTCATAAGAAACATTTATGCCATGTTTTGGTTTCATTCCATTCAGTGCACCTCTAGAAGAAGCATTTGTATGTATTTCCCATAGGGTCTTATGTTAAAGGAAGTCCCCCCATTGGCGGCCATCATGGATGAAGGATCAGCTTCAAAGTAACAAAACTTAGTCAGCACCTCATAAGGAACATTCATGCCATGTTTGGTTTCAATCCATTCAGTATGTGGTTCTCTAAAAGAAGACATTTGTATGTATTGTCCATAGGGTCCTTTGTTAAACATTGTCCACATCTGGCAGCCATCATGGACGAAGGATCAGCTTCAAAGTAACAACACTTGGTCAGCACCTCAAAAGGAACATGCATGCCATGTTTGGTTTCATTCCATTCAATGGTTCTCTAAAAGAAAACATTTGTACGTATTTCTCATAGGGTCCTATGTTAAACTAAGTCCCCTGCAGGCGGACATCTTGGATTATGGATCGGCTTCAAAGTAACAACACTCGGTCAGCACCTCATAAGAAACATTCATGCCATGTTTGGTTTCATTCCATTCAGTGGTTCTCTAAAAGAAGACATTTGTATGTATTTCCCATAGGGTCCAATGTTAAACTAAGTCCCCAGCTGGCGGCCATCTTGGATTATGGATCAGCTTCATAGTAACAACACTTGGTCAGCACCTCATAAGGAACATTCATGCCATGTTTGCTTTTATTCCATTCAGTGGTTCTCTAAAAGAAGACATTTGTATGTATTTCCCATAGGGTCCCATGTTAAACTAAGTCCCCCGCTGGCGGCAATCTTGGATTATGGATCGGCTTCAAAGTAACAACACTCGGTCAGCACCTCATAAGGAACATTCATACCATGTCTGGTTTCATTCCATTCAGTGGTTCTCTAAAAGAAGACATTTGTATGTATTTCCCATAGGGTCCTATGTTAAACTAAGTCCCCCGCTGGCGGCCATCTTGGATTATGGATCGGCTTCAAAGTAACAACACTCGGTCAGCACCTCATAAGAAACATTCATGCCATGTTTGGTTTCATTCCATTCAGTTGTTCTCTAAAAGAAAACATTTGTATGCATTTCCCATAGGGTCCTATGTTAAACTAAGTCCCCCGCTGGCGGCCATCTTGGATGATGGATCCGCTACAAAGTAACAACACTTGGTCAGCACCTCATAAGGAACATTCATGCCATGTTTGGTTTCATTCCATTCAGTGGTTCTCTAGAAGAAGTTCAAAATGTAATAAGTTAACGCCGACAACGGACGCCAAGTGATGAGAAAAGCTCACTTGGCCCTTCGGGCCAGGTGAGCTAAAAAGGTTAACCATACATACAATTGAGAGCCTTATTGTATCAAAACTGACTTTCTTTAATTAATACTATGTCAAGCATGTTTTATATACCTTTAGGATGTGTGACTTTCATGTTTTCAACTTTTAAAAAAAAATATGTTGCTCAGTAACCCTTTTGTGTATTTCTAGATATTTCCATATATTAAAAACTTATATTTAAAATACACTTCCAGTGAGATGTTTTGAAGTTCTTGTTATTGGTAATTTATTTTTCACACAGATTAACACTCTGGAGAGATCAACATTATTTCCCTACATTTATTGCGAACCCAATGAAAGTTTTCCACAGTGCCATCTCTATCTTGACCAGGTATTTAAACTTTTGCAAGTTCACCTGTCCTATTGAATGAATACAATAGCTATTTTTCTCTGTGTAGTTTATTCACTGGGACCTTTAAATTTCTTCTAAGAGAAATCTATCACTCATTGATTAATTTACCTGAGTAAAAAAATTTCTTATATATAGACAAAAATACTTTTTTTATACTCATTAACTGCGTGTGATGATGTATTTATTCAATATTAATAATATATTTTCATTCAGTTTAATATAAACATTGATTCAATCATAAAAAGTTGATTTCAAACAAAAGTTTTATCAATGTTCCTATTGAAATTTGATTTTTTTTTTGTCTAGTAATAGAATACATTTAATAAAATACTGTAAACCAACTTATTTTCACAGATAGTTATTCATGTTAACTTATCCCTTTTATTTCTATAAATCTATGTCTGAGAGGATTATTTATTTTGACATTTTTTCACAAACCTTTAAGCTTGATTAGAATAAATGTACATTGAAGTACAGTCTAAATGGATAATAAGAGTAAATATTAGCATTGTCACTTTCATAGTTTTTTTGGTCCAACACAAAAAAAATAATTTGAAAGTCACAAATTTCCATAGGAACATAGCAAAATTTAATGTCAAAACATTGGAACAAAATTATGAAAAGCTGTAGACAATTTAGTAAAAATTGGTAAATAATGCAAATAAAGTAAATCAGTTTATTATGGCTAATATTGCAAATAGCCAATGCAGACAACTTACCCTAATACATTCTAGAAGCCTACTAAATTATTAGATATTGAATAAATCAACATCACATATAGTTTTGTGTGTCCTTATTTAGTATTGGTACATGTATTTTTATCATTGAGAGTTAATTTTTTTGTTCAGGTAAATTAATCAATGAGTGATAGATTTCTCTTGAAGAAATTTAAAGGTCCCAGTGAATAAACTACACAGAGGAAAATAGCTATTGTATTCATTCAATAGGACAGGTGAACTTGCAAAAGTTTAAATACCTGGTCAAGATAGAGATGGCACTGTGGAAAACTTTCATTGGGTTCGCAATAATATGAAAAATCAAGAGACAACTTCTGATTTTGATATTTTATATGTTGTATCTCTTTAACAAGAACACAGACCTTTTTTTTATTTTTCCACAATTTTGATTTATAATATATTGAAATGGAAGTCATATACAAAATTTCTTTTGATTGTACCTAGTACAATTTGATTGTCTTAAAAGTCTTAATTTTAATTTTTCAGAAAAGAAATTTTCTTTGGAATGTGGAAAACCCAGTAAGCTTACTAACCATGACCAATCAAATGTGTTCTTTCTTCTATGATCTTAACATCAGAACAGTCCAATTCTAACACCTGGATCAGAGACAATGACAATCTCTTTAAATGAGAGGAGGATCTGAGGAGACTGTTCACATTGGGACCTGAAATAAAAAATACATATTCAATTTTCTACCAAAGATTAATCTTTAAAGAATATATATATATTAGACAAAATATCTCCGATATAAGAACATTCAACTAAAAATATTAACAACTCAAATTGGAATGAGCACCTGTGATTGAATGTTCTTTCTTTGTACAAAAACATTTGTTTACTGATCTGAATGGTTTGTATGCATACATTTAGTTCAAGAATGTTTTGTTTGTTTCATATTTCAGGATAAGGGCTGTTCCAGAAAATACTAATACTATTTCCTCCCACTTATATTTCATCTGTAGGTGGTTGTTCCTGGAAGAAATAAAATAAATCTGGGTAGGTGGTGCCATTTCTAGTACTATATAGTATTTTCTGGAACAGCCCTCATTGACAGTAGATATTTAATATAACAGATTTTATAGACCTTACTAAAAACTTAATACTGCTATAATGTCAATACATACCTAATAATGCAATGTATCCAGACAATAAAGATGCAGTTCCTAACTTCTGACTTTCATCTAAAATGTATATGACAAGGGAAATCACTCATGATACCTTAAATTGTTTTTAAGATTAATGATGATTATCTCCCTTGTTGCCTTGTTTTTGTACATATATAATAAGTATTGAATTTTAGAGTTAAAATCAAAATTAGCTTTCAAATATCTACTTGATATGTGACTTAAATCTGCCTCCATTTGTATTCTGTCACAAATGCAGAGTATTGACGTATTGAATTCAAACACAAGGACCGTTAAACAGGAGTGCACACACTGAAATGTCTTGCCTACTTTACTGACCATTTATTTTATGTTTAAAGTCTTAAAAATAAAGATTTTACTATAAATATCACATAAATTTTTTTTAAAGATCCATGGCAATGAGGTTTAGGTCAGATAAATCCTGTTAGACAGACATGTACACCTTACAATCAGTCTCAGATGAATCTCAATGTGCATGGTTAAAAAAATAAACTGTGACCACAGAGATATGTCTTGCATTTTTGTTATTTTTATAGTAAAATTCAAACGTTGAAATTAAAAAAGCAATACTTAAACATGTAAGTTAAGCAAAATATTCAGTCAATGAACCATGACTGAAGGTACAGGGCCAAACAATTTCCATGGAAATGAGATGTGCCTATGGTAATACAAATGACTACCAAATATCATTGACCTACCACTAGTGGTTCCCCATACACTAACCAATAATATATGTAAACTAAGCAAAATTTTCAAAGTCAAAAGACCATGACTGAGGGGATGGGCCATATAATCTCCATTGAAAAGTGATGTGCCAAAGCTAATACAGCTGCATACCAAATATCATTGACCTACCACTAGTGGTTCCCCATAAACTGACCTTATCACAAACTAATACATTGTTGAAGCAGCTGAAGCTGAAGACAGAAACAGCATACCTAAGTCTTAATTTTTGACTCTGTCAAGGCGAGAAAAAAATGGAGTTCTAAATCATGATCCCAGTCAAAATTTCATGCCCCCAAAAGATAATCCCTTTCTGAATATATAGTATTTTAATTTCAATTGCAATGTTAAAAGGTTTTCTTTGAAGAGACTTGACTAACCTGATGACCTTATTAATCTTGGTAGCGACACTGTAAGCTGATGAAGATTTTCTTCCAACATCTCCACCAGGGGGCGACATTCATGCCCAAGATGAGAGCTACTAAATGATTCCAGAACTTTTCGGCTATAGAGAGCTACATGGGAATATTCGTCGCCAATAAGTCCGACTAATACTTCTAGAATAGTAGGGATACAGTCCTTCAAGGATCTGAAATGACATAGCAAAACAGAAGATTAATAACTATAGAATTCACATTTTTTGTATCAGTACAAATGTAACATGGACAAAGGTAATAACCTATATCAATGTTAAAGGTTAAATGTCTAATTCTTATTGATATAAAAATAAGATGATGCTATAAGATTACCAATGAAACAACTATCCACCTCAGTCAAAATGTGTGGATCTTAGCAATTATAGATCCCCATACAGCCTTCAACAATGAGCAAAACCCATACCATATAGTCAGCTACAAAAGGCCCATCATGACAAAATTACTCCATATTTCTTAATAACAAGTATGTAAATTAAGAACATTCGAGTAGTAGCCCAACTGGTAAAATGTTGTATGATTATAAATTTTACAAATTACAGAATAATGAATAAGAAAAAAAAAAAAAATAAAGCAAATAGGTCACTTCTGCCTTTGAGGTCAATAAACTTCAATCTTACTTTGAACAGTGCTCTAGTAGTCTGGCTGCCCATTCCACCATTGCCTGTCTAACCTTCCAACTTGAATGACTTTTGACCTTTGCTATCTGCTTGACAAGTACAGTGAACTTTGACCCAGTAAGCTCAACCCATTCTTTGTTCCTTTTCACTATTAGATTTTGCAATTTACCATCAAGTTTGGCTGAAAAGAGGTATTGCAAAATTATAATAAATTTTTTTAATCATTTCAAAATAATATCTTGACGTTTTCATTTGATATACTGTTTATATTAAAATTAACATTTTTGTTGTGAATTTTTTATTATCCTCAATTTCTAAAGGTGTGTCATAGACAGGATGTACTATGGTATTCTTTTGTCCCTCTGAACATAATACAAAAACAACAGAATGCTTTGATCAAATTTCTTCAAACTTGTATGGAATATATTAAACGGAAGAATTCTTTAGGTTTGTCATTCCAGATTTACTGTACTTTAACTCTCAGATTTAAGAAAAATTTTCACATATCATGCACTGGCTGAGGCATGCTTGGATTGATGTTCCAAACTGAACAATTCCATTTGGGATGGGTAACGGACACTAACTTTAGTAGGCTTAGATCAATTTACTTTAAACTTAGTATTATTGTTTGGATGCCCTTCCAGAATTATGGAAACTGCTTTTAATAATCAACCAAAACTGTGAGGTGGATTTTTTGCACTAGCTCTTATTTGTGTTCCTCAACAAATACAACTTCTTAAGTACCCCATTTGCAGCATAAAAACATTGAATAAGTCTTAATTCTGTAATCTTACAGTTTGGATTTATACGATTCCTTATTTGAGCCTCTTCAATCAATTTGTCATCCATCACCATGGTTACAATGCTCGCCCAGGTCTTCAGTGCTGTCTACAATAAATTGTAAAATAGATATAGAACTGAGAGAGTATGTTGATCTGTAAAAAGAAGTTTCAGTGTTATTATATACACAATAATAATTATGTCAGCTATATGCAACTACAAAATACAATCAAAGTGCTTACACGCACTGAAGAGTAAAGATTGTTTTCATTTGACAATGCAAACTTTATATTAAACAAGAAATGATTGTAACAGGATGCTGTTACGAAGTCTCCCAAACGAAGCTCCCATAATTCGTAATTCCCAGGGTCGCCTGACATTGGGCAACGTCTAGTGAAAATTGGTTTGGTCCAGTAAAGTTATATGCATTAGTGATGCCTGGGGAATAACCTTGTATATCATTCAAATCATCTTGGCATGACAAACCAGAATATATATGGTTTAGGGGTGGGGATCTCGACCATTTACAAGATACTAGAACATTGGGGGTGGGGAGGAACCCCTGGGGACTGGCCCTATACGTCATTCAAATGTTCATTACATGACGAACAGGAATATATATGGTTTAGGGGTGGGGATCTCAACCATTTACAAGATATTAGAACATTGGGGGTGGGGGGAACCCCTGGGGACTGACTGTATACGTCATTCAAATGTTCGAGACATGACAAATAGGAATATATATGGTTTAGGGGTGGGGATCTCAACCATTTACAAGATATTAGAACTTTCTCAAATGGCAGGGGGTCGGGATGACCCCTGGGGACTAACCCTGTATATCATTCAAACCATCTTTGCATGACAAACCAGAATATATATGGTTTAGGGGTGGGGATCTTGACCACTTAGAAGATATTAGAACTTTCTTAAATGGCAGGGGGTGGGGGTGACCCCTGGGGACTAACCCTGTATTTCATTTAATGGGCTTTATCATTTAGAACATTTTCAATTAAAAAGATTGTGTCTATCACAAACGGTTTTCAATTTATAATCATTTGAAAATTTTTAAAAATTAAATCCCATAGGGTTCTATAGTAAAACCCTCTTTTCTTTTTGCCCCTCAAAGTACCCCTTTATAAACCCCATTGCAAAAACAAAACCCTGATTGCACCACTAGACATGTTAGTCTAACATATTGTGAAACCCTAAGTTAATCTGACAAGCGGTTTTGGAGAACGGGTGCGGACAAGTTCAAATTTTAAAGCGGCGGAAGAAGAAGAAGAAGAAGAAGAAGAAGAAGAAGAAGAAGAAGAAGAAGAAGAAGAAGAAGAAGAAGAAGAAGAAGAAGAAGAAGAAGAAGAAGAAGAAGAATAATAATAATAAGAACTGAGCAAAAACAATAAGTCTTCCCAAACTTCGTTTGGGAGACTTAATTAGCCAAATCATATTTGAGTTATCTTCCTTTCTTCAAAATTGTACATTTACAGTTTAAACTTTTTTGTATAACAGTTTCATACACCAAAAAGGATGCTAATTGAGCATCTTCTCATAAAACAGAAAATTCTACTGGTTGTTTGATGGAGCAAGACTTAGCTTTCATGACAATTCTCAATAAATGATGCAATAAACATATTTTAAAAGGGGGCTCTATTGAATAGAGATTTGAAAGTGGGAAGATGATGATTATTATAGCAAAACATACATTAAAAATACACTTTTAGTTAGTAGTAGAATTTTTGACTAATTATCACTTTCTTTGCAAAGGTATTGGTAGCTACATGTAGACTGATTAAAATAAAGGCATTACTATGATGACAGTCTGTCCTTGTTTAGAATCTCCTGTGATCACCTGACACAAGGTAATAGACACACCAGGCAGGAATGATGCAAAGGTATCCCCTAACATCGTCTTTACTTTGGAACAATCTGTAAAATAAAATATATTCAATCAAGCCCAGATCCATAGGGATAGAGATAAAATTCTTCAAATAAAAAAAAATAATTCTATAACATTGGTTAAATAAATGACAAAATATTTTGGAAGGTTTATGTGGAGCATAATTTTTGGACTACATCAATTCCCCATTCAAACAAAATCTTGGATCTGCTTCCTGGTATTTATAGACATATAATTACCCATTAGGTATTTAGGAGGGGGGACTTGTTTCAAAACTCTCCTACCCCTATATCATTAACACCACTTTACCAACAATTAATTCTGGAATAACCCTATTCATATATTCCACTATTTTCACCTCTTTTTTTCCTTTCCTACATTTGTACATTCATCTATTGACATTAGAAATAAATGTGTATACAATAGTTTTTTATTGACCATAATCAAATAAATACTCACTACTGTTCCTTCTAATAAAAAATAACAAACATTTTCTTGTTATTTAGGTTAGCTAAAATGAATCATAATAGAATTACCAGATCAATCTACTTAGTACTATGTATAACCAGACAAAATAGTTTAGGAAATCACCTGTGTAATAAGCATTTACATGAATACTTCAGCTCTTGTTGTTACAACAAAGGTAATATTATCCGTCTATTCTTTTCAGTGAGAGGGCAAGATTGGATTTGTGAAGGGGCTTGGTGGGGCATTATAGAGATACCTATATCCTTAATGCATAGTTTTTTACATTGCCTTGGTGAGCCCTCTTTTTTCAAAATCCTGAATCTGCAACTGCTAAGTAATAGAGCAGGTAGGCATCAAAAGAAATATACAGAATACTGAATTAATTCCTGGTTACTATGGATTCATTATCATTCGTTGGATACCAATTTTCGTGGGTTTCATTGGTACAGGTGAACCAAGAATTTAAATGTTCAACGAATGTCAAATTTTATATAGGCTCGTATGCAGACTTTGGCAAAACTTATGAAATAAAAAATCCACAAAAGTAAATGAATCCACAGTATATGATATTATTGTTTTTGACAACATACATTTTCCATCAACCTGGCTGATTTCTATCAAACATTCCATAGCTTTGATTTTCAGTGCCCTTGATTTCTCCTTTTCAGCCAAATTCAGAAGAATTGAAACAGCATGTCCAAGAAATGGTAAACTCCATGGTGCATACAAACTCTGTATCATGCTGGAAGAGATAAATACATATAAAAATACATTTCTACCCCTATATCACTACCAAACTTTTTTTTTTAACTATTTAGTGTATGTAGTATATTTTGTTATAGGTATATGTGGGTTGAAAAAAATTTGATGATGACAATAGCTATAAGAAGATGTGGTATGAGTGCCAATGAGACAACTCTCCATCCAAGTCACAATTTGTAAAAGTAAACCATTATAGGTCAAAGTACGGCCTTCAACATGGAGCCTTGGCTGACACCGAACAGCAAGCTATAAAGGGCCCAAAAATGACGTGTAAAACCATTCAAATTTATATAAAAGGTACTATTTTTTTCAAACTACTGTAGATTCATTATTATTCGTTGGATACCAATTTTCTTGGATTTCTTGGGTACAGGTGAACCACGAATTCAAATGTTTAAAGAATTACAAATTTTCTAAAGGAATGTATGCAGACTTTGCCAAAACAACGAAATCAAATATCCATGAAAATGCAAGTTTTCCTCAATCCACTAAAAAATTGATACCCATGTAATTAATGCATCCACAGTACCTCAAAAGGTTATATTATTAATGACTACATTTTGTACTTGATACATAAGATCTGGGTATGCTAATACTAAAATGTACACAACCTTGTCTCATTTACCATAATTCATATGCATTTTAACATGAATGAGGACAATGATGAAATATTACATTAAGGGGTTCATTAACATTGTGGACACTTTTTATTGCCTTTTCACAAACAGTACGTTTTCTCTGGAATTAGTTTAATAATTTCTCCTGCTATAATAAAATTTTGAAAATTTTTATTTTTAGGGAACAAATTTCATCATTCTATCATCACCCCTTGTAAAACCTGGAAAAAAATTATATCAAATGAGGTTATTACCTTCTACCTCACAAATTTGTCCAGAATTTTGTATGAAATATTTGCCACATGATGTAAATCAAACAGCAACAAAGTACCCCTAATAACAATGAACATATTGACATAAGCATACTAACCTGTATTCAGATTTTCTAACAAGAACCATCAATGTCTGTACAATAACAGTCTTCAACTCTTCTGATAAGGGTTTCACTAAAAATAATCAAAATAATTATCAAATTAAAGAAATGGAGGCATAAAAAACGTCAGCTAATTCTCTTGCAGTTTTACTTGAATTAGATTTGACAAGATCTGTTCCTTTACACATATCAACTTGAATCACTTTTATGTAAAATTTATGCAAAGGTTATATAGTTTTAATATGAACCCTTTTTATCATTATTTTACTCAAGAGGTATCGACTTCCAAAATTTTCTTCATCCAATCATGCCTTCTAGTTGCTCACATTTGGACCTAAAATGTAACTTGCACTAGTTGATCATGCTCAAACTGTAAGTCAAGGTCATGCTTTAAACATAACTTGCAAAACTTTACAAAAAATAAATATGGAGGTAGATGTGACCCAATTTTAACACAGACCTTTGTTCCTATCCAAGATTGGCTCCTTGACAAATTAATACATGTAATATAGATCTGGATCTTTAGTTCTTTACCAAAAACTTAACCGTGAAAAGGTAAGTTTGAATGATTTTAGACAAAATATTTATATCCCCCTTAACACCATCTGGCAAAGGGATAACACTTGAATGAAAAGAATAGGACAATGTCTCTCACATCTTTTGAGTTTGACAAGTCCTTCTACTGTTACTTACCTTTACCAACTTCTGCAGGTGAACTTATGGTAAGACAACATGTGTTGAATATATCTTGAAACATCTCCCATTGGCTGACTCTGGTCTGTGACAGGACTTTCTCAATACTGGTAAACACATCAACATACAACTCATCTGGACTAATAAAAAAAGGGAAGGAATACACTAAATATAAATCTGATGCTCTTTGGTCAATTTGACATATCAGTTTTTTTCTTCTAAAAAATATAATTTTTGATCCAATTTTATTTTACAAAAATATCATTATTATTAAATAAAGAGGTGTAGTACGATTGCCAATAGGATAACTATTCAACAGAGTGCAAATGAAGAGGATTTAAGCATATATAGGGTACCATATGGCTTTCAACGATGAGCAAAACCTACATCGTATATATATAGTCAGCTATTAAAGGCCCCAACATGACAAAATGCAAAACAATTCAAACGAAACACCAACGGCCTGATTTATGACAAAACAATAAATGAAAAACAAACATGACAGACACCAACCAACGACAACCACTGAATTACAGGCTTCTGACTTAGGACAGGCTTATATAGAACAAGAAATGATTGTAACAGGATGCTGTTACGAAGTCTCCCAAACGAAGCTCCCATAATTCGTAATTCCCAGGGTCGCCTGACATTGGGCCACATCCAGTGAAAATTGGTTTGGTCCAGTAAAGTTATATGCATTAGTGATGCCTGGGGACTAACCTTGTATATCATTCAAATCATCTTGGCATGACAAACCAGAATATATATGGTTTAGGGGTGGGGATCTCGACCATTTACAAGATACTAGAACATTGGGGGTGGGGAGGAACCCCTGGGGACTGGCCCTATACGTCATTCAAATGTTCATTACATGAGGAACAGGAATATATATGGTTTAGGGGTGGGGATCTCAACCATTTACAAGATATAAGAACATTGGGGGTGGGGGGAACCCCTGGGGACTGACCGTATACGTCATTCAAATGTTCGAGACATGACAAATAGGAATATATATGGTTTAGGGGTGGGGATCTCGACCATTTACAAGATATTAGAACTTTCTCAAATGGCAGGGGGTCGGGATGACCCCTGGGGACTAACCCTGTATTTCATTTGATGTGCTTTATCATGACAAACCAGAATATATATGGTTTAGGGGTGGGGATCTCAACCATTTACAAGATATTAGAACTTTCTCAAATGGCAGGGGGGCGGGATGACCCCTGGGGACTAACCCTGTATATCATTCAAACCATCTTAGCATGACAAACCAGAATATATATGGTTTATGGGTGGGGATCTTGACCACTTAGAAGATATTAGAACTTTCTTTAATGGCAGGGGGTGGGGGTGACCCCTGGGGACTAACCCTGTATTTCATTTGATGTGCTTTATCATGACAAACCAGAATATATATGGTTTAGGGGTGGGGATCTCAACCATTTACAAGATATTAGAACTTTCTCAAATGGCAGGGGGTCAGGTTGACCCCTGGGGACTGACCCTGTATATCATTCAAACCATCTCAGCATGACAAACCAGAATATATATGGTTTAGGGGTGGGGATCTTGACCACTTACAAGGTATTAGAACTTTCTTAAATGGCAGGGGGTGGGGTGACCCCTGGGGACTAACCCTGTATTTCATTTGATGTGCTTTATCATGACAAACCAGAATATATATGGTTTAGGGGTGGGGATCTCGACCATTTACAAGATATTTGAACTTTCTCAAATGACAGGGGGTCGGGATCAGGGATGGGCACGATTACTGACAAATGTAATCGATTAATAATCGATTACATGAAGGTATTTTGTGCAATCGATTAATAATCGATTACTCAGATTTTTGTATGTAATCGATTGCAATCGATTACTTTATCAAAAGTAATTACATTACTTTTCGATTACTGTCAATTACATGCTTCAAAATTTAAAAAAAAATAAAGTAAGTTAAACACTATCATGTTGATCAACGTTTGTATAGTAGGTGTTTAGAACTTTACCAAAAAAACAGCATTTAAATCATTGTTTCCAAATTATAAGTTGACAGTTGTTATCTAGATGGAATCTCTTACTGAGGATCAGAATTATTAAAAAAATCTTGAAATTTGACTTTCAACATGAATTAGAGATGACATTGCATTCCATCAATCACTTATATATATGTTTAAAGTTTTTTTCAATAATTTTGCTTTCGTACTGACTTAACTTAGCTTTTTTGTTTTTATTCATTAAAAGCAGGTATATTTTAGCATAGTTATTTACAATGTTGGAAGTTTTCTCAGAAGAAAATATAAAAAAGTAGAATTATTAATTAGTTCAGCTAATTTTAAGGATCAAAATTTATAATTATAATGACAAACATGATTTAATCCTTTTGTTTGAAAACCACCTTAATTATAGGTTATAAAACTGCCAATGGAGTACAATTTATAACCTGGGGCAAAATAATGTAAATCTCCATCTTAATTAGACAAACAGTAATTGAAATAAAAACAAAGTATGTGTCTTATATAGTGATTAGAAGACTTTGATCATCTGATTAGTAAAGACAAGTTTGTTAAGATTTTTTTATTCTATAATAAAATTATAAACAGTATATATTTATAGTGTCAACGAGGGATACATGTATCTTTTTCTGAAAAGAATTTCAATGCATAGGCATTGGTTCATTGTTAAAAGGATTTTGTGTGCTTATTTTTCATATACATGTATATCTTAACATTATAAGAAATCAACTGTTTTATCTATTCTAAGCTTAAATCTTATTGAAAATTATGCTTTTAGGAAATTTAATACAAATAAGCTTACTACTTTAAGGAAGTACAGAACTTAACTTAAGACACATTTCTTATTTTAAATCTATTTTCTTATTTTAATATAAAAGGTGTTGACTTATTGACAAGCACATCAATCCATTTGTTTCAAAAGCTAGATATAAAGTAAATTATGGTAGGGGATCTGGTTGATCATAATGCAGCTTGAGACAATAGATAGAAATATAAAGGCAGTTGATAAACTCTTAAGTCATATCAGTACTTCAAAGTGATGAATACATACATGTTTTCATTTAAAATACTAGGTTATATTTCATCAAACTATTTTACTAAAGTAATCGAAATGTAATCGAAAGTAATCGATGATTACATCATGATTTTTGCTGTAATTGATTAAATTACGATTACATTTAATCGAAAATGTCTTCGATTACAGATTACTGTCGATTACTGGAAAAAATGTAATCAATTACAATCGATTACGATTACAGATTACGATTACCCCATCCCTGGTCGGGATGACCCCTGGGGACTAACCCTGTATATCATTCAAACCATCTTAGCATGACAAACCAGAATATATATGGTTTAGGGGTGGGGATCTTGACCACTTAGAAGATATTAGAACTTTCTTAAATGGCAGGGGGTGGGGGTGACCCCTGGGGACTAACCCTGTATTACATTTGATGTGCTTTATCATGACAAACCAGAATATATATGGTTTAGGGGTGGGGATCTCGACCATTAACAAGATATTAGAACTTTCTCAAATGGCAGGGGGTCGGGATGACCCCTGGGGACTAACCCTGTATATCATTCAAACCATCTTAGCATGACAAACCAGAATATATATGGTTTAGGGGTGGGGATCTTGACCACTTACAAGGTATTAGAACTTTCTTAAATGGCAGGGGGTGGGGGTGACCCCTGGGGACTAACCCTGTATTTCATTTAATGGGCTTTATCATTTAGAACATTTTCAATTAAAAAGATTGTGTCTATCACAAACGGTTTTCAATTTATAATCATTTGAAAATTTTAAAAAATAAAATCCCATAGGGTTCTATAGTAAAACCCTCTTTTCTTTTTGCCCCTCAAAGTACCCCTTTATAAACCCCATTGCACAAACAAAACCCTGATTGCACCACTAGACATGTTAAAAGCGGCGGAAGAAGAAGAAGAAGAAGAAGAAGAAGAAGAAGAAGAAGAAGAAGAAGAAGAAGAAGAAGAATAATAATAATAATAATAAGAACTGAGCAAAAACAATAAGTCTTCCCAAACTTCGTTTGGGAGACTTAATTAGAGTGCTCAATCCCCTCCCCTAACCTGGGACATTGGTGTAACTGCACAACATAAAAACAAACAGAAACCATCATTTGGAAATGGATTAACTCTGACATCAGATTGGCAAGAAGCACAAAAAACTACAGACAAATGACACAAAATTCTTTTCTGGATTTACCTTCATCATAAATGCTCAAAGCTGAATATTCAAAAGCCCAGGTTGAAGGATGTATAAGAACCGAAACAGTTGAAAAGCTATATAACGAAAAAGGACCTAAAATACTAGCCAAATCCATTTTGCCTGAGTGAGTTGTAGCCTTAGTTTCTTAAGAGTATGAAATGGACAATTTAAGAAAGGTTTGTTAAAAATCATAAAGATTCAAAATCATTTTTTTTATATTTAGAACCATGCATATGCCATGTATGCTGTTCAGTTTTATATGAATGCTAATTTTAGAAGACAGACAGTGGATGTAATACTTACTACTTTTTGTCCTGTTTTAATATCAGTCTGAATGGAAACAATAGGTATTCCTGTAAATCTTGTATAACTGTTCTGTCCACATTTGTCAGTGCTGTATTCACAGCTTGTACATTCACCCTAGTATGCTCTTTCGTCAGCTGAACACATAGTGGCCGAATTTTGTCAAACACTTTCTTCCTTTCAGCATTTGGACATGCCCTGGAACATATAAGAGGTGTACACTGTACATAAAAAAAAAAACAACTGACAGACACTGGAATAACGTTTAATAGTTTGTCATCGTATAAAAATCTCAGGTAATTTTAGTTTTAATCTGTATCAGGAAGTTCATATGCCCTCCCAAGTCAGCTCAGGGTCAAATATGCTTACTAGAAAAACTATTGGTTGAAGTCAGAAAATGGTTAGTTACATGTACTGTAATTACTGTTTTATTATCAGTGATATTGTTTGCCTCAAATTGCCTCCTAAATTTGGCTTTCTCCCCTAGAGATAATTCCCAATTACTAAAAAAAAATGGCATAAAATTCCTCCCAATAAGTGTCTTCCCTAGAAAATTTTTCATGCATGGTGGTTCCATGGTGAATTTGCAAAGCAGCGTGTGACGCTTTTTTTCAGAATTAGTTACATCACATAATTTATATGTTTAAAGCCATATACCAATCTAATTGTTTTATTATAGGTACAGCAATTCATTTAAGTCATGGAATTTTAAAGTATTTATCACAGATGAGAGTAATTAATGAAAGACCATATAAACAATAATAACAATAATCCAGTCTGCAATACTTATTTACAAATTAATGTCATATACACATTATTTTGTTGATATCTTCCTCTGTTTCAACTTTCCAAAGGTCACCACATATTTTTCAAAATCAAAAGCTTCTTCCTTTGGTCCTTCAATTGATATATGCATTAAGCAATTGAGCACTTTTTGGCATAGTCTGTTTCTCAAAGGTGATTTTAATCTGTCTGACTACAATTTGATGAAGGAGTAGACTTCTCTAACCAACTTGTCAAAAAAGTTGGGCCAGTAAGGCGACATTTCTTTGATGGTTGCTTGGACATGGTTGTTAAACTGATGATTGTTCTTCGAATTTTGCTGATAGAATGGTTTCAGAATCAACAGCAAGTTGTTAAATAAAACTTTGAAGGTCATCATTGCTTCACAGAGATTTTACAGGAAACAATAAAAAAAAAGTTTATTTGCGTTAATTACAGAAGTCGTCAATGAAGAATACCTGACATACGGACACACGGATGACATATTTGGCAATTACCTGTTTGGAAGCTAAGCTGACATTTTATTTCATGACAATTAACTATTTTTTTTTTAAATAAATCGCTGTCCGATTTATTTATAACGCTTCATAATTGTAAAAATCCTATCTTGCCGAAGTGAAAGAAATTTAGCCCCACTTGTGAAAAAAACGGCAAATGAATCCGCTACACGTGAAGATTGTGACCCATTGAAATAAAAATAGAACAACACAAGTTTATTAAAAACAATATTTCCGTAAATAACTACGTATATTTTGTAAGTTTTTCTATCAAATCTTTTAAATATTTCATAAGACACGTCTTTTTCTCGGCCCGGTGGCGGTGATGTGTATTCTTTGATAAATTCAATCAACCGCGACTAATCGACTAATCTAAAAATAACCGATTGTTGTGACCAATCAAAAAATAATTCATCGATGTAAATATAGCTGATGAAGTAACTGCGAAACTTTATTAAAAAAAATGTTTTGTCCATTCTCGGTGAAATTATTTTAGTTTTATTTTATAATACCAGAGACTAAACCAAATTTTAAATTTCTACTTTTTAAAGATCACAGTAAAATAACGATGTCAAACACCCGGCCATTTTTAAGGTGAAATTTATACAGGAAAAGGTTAAACTTTTTATTTAGCACAGAAAGATATGCATTGGAGATAAATCTGATTATTTATTTATCAGCTGACTGGTAACTTCTATTATGTAACCCAAGTCTCGATGTATAACCGTCTAATCAAGAAGGTTGTAAAATCCCGGCACGCGCGATGTGATGCATTCAATTATTAGTCGGATGAGTTTAAAACACCTGTGGAGTGTTGTCGCTTGTTACTTCACTTTCAAAATATCGATAATAAATATTTTACACAGTTATAATTTTCACACATAGCGGGATGCATTGCGGCAATGATGAAAGCATGGCGGTCGAAATTTATGCGTAGCGGTACCGCAATGCTTGAATAGCCTAGGGAAAACACTGAATAAGTTGTACATTTTTCCCAAACGGTGATGGCATCAGTAGTAATGTACGTAAATTTCGTATTCATGTTGAAATGATATTATTTTGAGATCCGGGTTTCTGATTAGAATCATCGCAGTGTTTGTAACACACGTGGTTTTCAATGTATTAAGTACCGTCATTTTTTCCATTTCTTTCCCCTCCCCAAAAAGTTCCTTTCCGGTTGAAAATGTCTCACAATTCAAGTTTTAGTACAATTATTTCATATTCAAAACTTCCCAATTTCCAAAAAAAGGATGCATTTTTCCCAAAAAAAAAAGGGTAGACGTAGTTTTGAAAAAAGACAACAATATCACTGATTATGGCAAAAATTGCCATGCATGAGATAGGTGTTGCAAAAATAAAAACTTGTATTTTTTATTCTGATAACATAAAATGTAATTGTATGCAGGATTTCCTGAAATTGCAATACGTAAACTTGCATTTGCTGAAGAATCTCAAATAAATGCACACAATAATTTCTGAATTTACAGTACACTTATACATATGTACACGTATATATATTAAAAGAAACCATGCCTGAAACATAATTACTCCCTTGTCCTTTGGTCTATAAATAAGCAATACTTGTCACATGTGAATACAGGGAATTGCCAGCTTTTATGAGATGATTGGCACCTCTGACACTGGCAGTCACTGCAATTATCATGATTATGTACATATCTTAATCAGAAATGTATTATATTAGCTGTTAAAATATTACTGTGCACCAATTGAAGTGACAAAAATTCATCGATTTCATTAATGTAGTAAAACAAATTGTGTGTCCTCAAGGACTGGCGGTTATGCAACACCCAAATCCCAGATCTGATATATAGAGCCAAAAGATGCGAGACCTCATGATGCCTTTACTTTCTGTTGAGGCGTCAGAAATTTTCTTCCCAGATGTCAAAATTTTATAGGAAATGCAGCAGTCAAATAGCGATAAGGTCTATTTAATTTGAATGGGAAAACAGATACCCATTTATGAATATAAAGCATATCAGTATTATGATTAACAAGTAAAGAAAACTGTTAATGTCCATTGATTTTGAGAAACTGAAATTATGACAAAAGATAAGATCTGTCAGAAATATTTCATAAAAATCATGTTGTGTTTGGTCTCGCACAATCTCGTTCACTATGACTTATTGCGTCTTTTTAGCTTGACAACACATTTGCTTTTGATGTTTTAACATGACAGAAATAAAATTCAAGCTCCTTTATATACATTTATGCTGTTAATTTGATGATATCTAGCTTCCCGCTTTCGACCCTGGGGGCCGACATCTTGGATTCAGTTGTAATAAGAGAATCGATCAGGAGACAGTCTATTTCCGGAATCGAAGCACTATCATCTTCTTGTTCTCCTTGAGATACGGGCATACATACATTTTTTACGATTTTTTGCAGCACATTGTATGAGGTTTCTATAAAGTTAATAATACTATAATTACATTTGTTTTCCTTTTAAGGTGGATCATCGGTATATATTTCCTCAGATAGAATTTTCTTATACTTTGCCAAAATGAAGCTTTTACTTTGCTTTTTTCAAAAATATAATAAAAAATATGGGTCACCGTGCTATTTTTCAAGCTACAAGTCGTGCAAAATTGCCAAAATTTGGATAGATTGTTAATGAAAAAAAACAATTTTTAGAATAAAAAGAAATCTATGTCTATGAGATAGAATTTTGAAATAAAATATAAGATAGGTTTTATAATATGCTTTAAGAAAATAAAAAGAAAAAAATGGTGTCACCGAACTTGTTTTTTTGCTACAAGTAAAAAATAAAAATTTCACTATCTTTCCAGTATAAAATTGTTACTATAGGAGTTATCTCCCCTTAAATGGATAAATTGAAAAATTGATTCTAAAAAACACAAATATTTGGTACTTGTTTAAACAATTTGAATAATGCAATAAATCACTGATTTTTCTTTATAAAAAAAATAGTCTTACACATAAGTTGCAAATCTGTCTAAAATTTGCAGATTTAGGCAAAGAACTAGACAGATTGTGTACTGCTATTATACAATCCAAGATGGCGGTATACAGTGAATCTACCTTAATATTACCTGTTACCTGTTAAATATTCTGCAATTTCCGCCTCTATTAGGCGCACCAACAATGGTGTAGTGGGGATGAATGTCATTTACACAACAAAATCACACCTTGACTTCTTCTGATTATTTCAGAATAAAGAAACAAAACTAAAACGGCTAAAAATATTTACAGGATAATGTAACTGGGTAACAAAAAGTGGATATCAAATCCCTTAAAGTTAACCAACTACATTGTCACTTTTCTTCACTGAACTTACTTTAAGTGAAGATTATCATATTGTCAACATTCAATTTAATAACGGCATTGCTAGCAAAGACGATCTTCTATACTAGTCACGTATTCAATTTCAAATATAGATGTCACAGTCATTTAAGAATTCTAATGACGAACAATTAATAAAAATTATGATAATTTTAACATTTTTTTTATCAACTTTCTATTTTTTACATTTTTTGTTTAACTTGTAAACAATAAGAACATTTAGTTTAAGTGAGCTTTTTTTAAGGAGGACTTCATGAGTGAGTGCACCATTAAAGTTGTCAGTGAAAAATTTGAATAAGATTTCGGATGGTTGTTTATCCTAATCTTAAAATGTATGACAAAAGAATGAGAATTTGAAACTGCCTTTGTTACATGTCTTACATTGAAGTTCTCTATTTGTTTGTTGGTGGGTTCATATCTTGTTTTTTGGTTTTTTTTCAGTATATCTTGTGTTGGTATGGCAATTCAGTTATATATAACGTAAACATCAGAAGTCGGGTTCTTGTAAGGTTGTTCAGTTGATCACATACACTGCCGGTTGCAGGCATACCGTACAGCTTATCTTTGTACTTGATCCAATCTGATTGAAGTTCATGTGTGTGGATTCCAAACAATGTAAGTACCGATGAAAACAATGCCCAAAGATCTTATTGCAGTGTTAAATTGGTAACCTTTTAAAATAAGCTTATTCAAAGGATCATACATGGACCGTATTTAATTTACGGCCTCTATAACCAACATAGCCGTACAATTTAGGATGTGGTATCCCGTTTATAAAAGTTGTCTACAGGTACAGTCAAACTTCCAAACAAAATCGTTGTATCTATAAAAGAATGCATAGATATTTTGAAGATTGGACTTGTTCTAGAATATCATCGGCCAGTGACCATGCCTGTTTTAGTAAAAATGTATTTGTTTTTCATTAAGATTCAAAGGATGTTGGGGGCCTCGGTGGCCGAGTGGTCTAAGTAGTTACTACTGTAATCACTAGCCAGTCAACACTGAGGTTGTGAGTTCGAACCCCGCTCGTGCGTGTGCACTCGACTTCAATCTTAATTGACTAGGATTGTCAGTTTTCCTATCGAAGGTCGGTGGTTTTCTCCGGGCACTCCGGCTTCCTCTACCAATAAAAACTGGCCGCCACGAATAGCCCAAAAGCGGTACTTAAAAGTGGCGTTAAAACACCAAAAATCAAATCAAATGAAATTCAAAGGATGTTACGTATTATTGGAAAGGCAGGAGCCACTCTTGTTTCCATTTTCAAGGGGAATTAGCTACGAGATATATAAAAAAAAGTATGATTTTTTTTGTTCAATCATTAATGAAAGTGAATTAAATTATAGTGATATTATAATTCGCTTTTAGCAGCCACTTTGGTTCAGTTTTGTCAAAATAAGCAAAGAAACATCGCTAATGAATTATTCACTTGCAAGTGAATAATTCGATCTCATTAAATCCGTATTCATGTGAATTCTAATTGAAACCTTTAGCTAGAGATGGGTTACGCATGAACTAGGTGTGTTCAGTAAAATTAAAAAGAAAAGAATGTCAAAATTGGTAGTGAAACAAGGGTAAACCATTTGGTTGACCTATTCGATCTGCAAAAACTCATTGTTATACAGGTAAAAACGATTATTAACATATTTTTGAAACTTATAATATGAAATCAAACAGACCTGGAAAAATCCAATTGCACGAGTTCCCTATCTATTTATATCTATGTTTATGTTTATATCGGGTTATATAACCGTCGGCAGTCTTCGGAGGTCATATCGATGGTTAATTAGATGTCGTCTAGGCTAAATACACACGAAATGCTGATATATATTATCGAGTCCGTGCATCGTTAATTGTTTATTTTAGACTTTTTATTGTTTCGTTTACATTTTAGTAAGTATAAATCAAATATGAGAATTTGAGTCAAATTGGTGAACACGAATTTGACAGCTAATGTCCCTTTAAAACTTATTCAATGTCTTACCGAAGCTTAATGCAATCGTTTTGACTGGTAAAAGTCTTTTTAGCTGTTTGTTCGGTAGTTTTGTATGTCATTTATGATGGTCTGGATGGGGGGTTCTTCATTTCTGTATTCTTTAATATTTTGGAGCATTTTTTTTATCTTTTAGAATAACGCTTAGTCTGTAAAATTCTCATGATTTTTTTATTTCTTTATTCGGTATACATAGTTCAATTCTGTAATTAGTATTTTATTGCCTAATTCAATCATTTTCCATAAATACTTATTCCTTATGCTTTTGCACTCCATTAGTCTCTATTCTTTAATATTTTAACGTTTTTCTTAATTCTTTATTTTTTGGGGCCATTATTCTCTATTTTGTAAACCCCATCACCCTCATTTATGAAATCACAAAAAGTATAAGTCACTGGGGATGTCCTGAGGAATCTCTCAAGATTTTTGTGTCTAAAAAACTTTTGGAAAAAAAAATAATCATAAGTTTTGACACAAGTCATTAATGTCTAAAACAATAACCACGGACTGGTAAATAATAAATCAAAATTGTGATTAATATCATCTTAATCACGAAGAAGCTTCTGTCCAAGTTTCATCAATTTCCGTGTATCAAGGTTTCACAAATTTACTGATGTCTAAAATACTTTAACCCAAGACTGTATCTAAAATACGTTAACCCAAGACTGTATCTAAAATACTTCAACCCAAGACTGTATCTAAATGTTAATTGCATGCAAAATGTTCAGTGAATACGAAAAAAAATCTATGGGGACTGTCTCTTGATCACGAAGAAGTTTCTGTTCAAATTTCGAATAACAAATATATGAAGGTTTGACAAAGTTATCGATGTGTACAAAAAATATCCACAGACTGAAATTAATTGTTGACGACGCCAACGCCGATAGAATCTAGGATCGCTATAGTTCCCCTTAGCAGGCGAGACAAAAATGAATGTTTAAAGCACCTAGGTTAACATATTAGAGGACTAAACCTAAAACTCTGCTGCAATAATACAAGCTAATTAGATCAACAACAACAAAAATCCAATGTGGATATCGAACTTGTATCTATATAAAGCTTTAAAAAATGAAGCTAATAACATTTTCCTTATTAGTTATGGGAGTTACTTGAAAATATAGATGTTATTAAGATACTTTTCAACAGATCTTTAGAATAATGTAAATATAACTGCAGTTTAAGATTACTGATAATATTTATATATAGATCCTAAAATAATAATGCAACACAACGGTAGTTTGGCGCATATACGGCGTGATTTGACATACTGCATGAATGCAAATGGCTATTATTTTCGTTATATTATGTTTCAAAAACATTCAAAATTGCTCAAGCATTATTAATCGTATTACACTAAAACAGTTTTTTTTCAATTACCTATACAGTTTATTCTTTCAAATGTATATAATAAGTCCACATGGTCCTGTATTTAAAATGCTCGTTGTATTTCATCTAATAATTACTGCGGGATATTATACAAGTCAAAGACATATTCATTGTGACCATTTCAACATTTCGAAAATCTCGTCTGGTGTAAATCTCGGGAGATTTCAACTCCTTTAATATCCAGACAATTGGAGAAGGGTGACCCCATCTTTGGGATCGTCTAAACTTCCTAATTTGCCTTTTCATGTCTTTTTACTTTCGGCCCTTTTCTCATTGTTATGTTGGGGCCTCGGTGACCGAGTGGTATAAGTAGTTCGTCGTCGGTGATCATTAGCCTGTCAACGCTGAGGTTATGAGTTCGAACCCACTCGAGGCAAGTCGGTCGTTCTTAATTGGCAGGAAATACCTGTCCAATGATTGTTAGTTTATCTGCTGAAGGTCGCTGCATGCATGGTTATCTCCTGGTACTCCAGCTTCCTTTACCAATAAACAGGCCGCCATGAAAGGCAAGAGCGATCATGAAAGTGGAACTAAACACCAATAATCAAGGGATCATTGTATATTAACGCTTAACTGAAAAAATACGTTTTGATAATGGAGTCATCAAGT